CTGTACTGTTCTGACATTCTTGGACCTCAAGAAATTCGATTGGCTGTCAGTACTTCAGGATTGATCTATACCATAGTTTGTGAACTCTATAACTTTTCCTACAGACTAAATAATACATCCTAATTTGGATTATTTTCACCAAAGACATGTAGCAGAATACATCTCGGCCTAAATTTATGAAGAACAATTATTTATTTGCAAACTTTTATAACAGAAACAAAGAAAAACGTGGGGTTTTTTTTCAAAATTTGTGGTCTTTTTTTGTTAATTTAGCAAAAAATATAAAAACCCCAGCGGTGATTAAATACCACCAAATGAAAGCTCTAGTTGTGTGAAGAAAATGATAAAGTTTTAGTTTGGGTACAATGTTGTATGACCGCGCAATTGTCATTCAAAGTGTGAGAGCGCGCTGAAAACTGGCCTGGGCAGGAAGGGGGTAAAAGTGCCCGGTATTGAATTGGTTAATGACTTGGTCCAGGCTGAGGAGTGACCGGGGGATACCCTTGGCCATTTGGATTGTTCATTAGGCTGCATACGTTTGATCTTCCTGGTGAGCGCATAGTGGTGGAGGAATCACACTGAAGATTGTGTCAACCTTCGGGATTCCCTCTGCTGCATTCACCTACAGTGGAGATTGTTGAACTCTGTGAACTTTCATGGATGGTGATTTCCCCATCTGTGGAGGGCTGCATCTCCGGAACTTTATCCATAGGTCATTCACACACCTGATCCCCTGGCCTCCCCCTGGAATTGGCTCCCTCGAGGCGCTGGAGAGCTAACATTTCTTTCATAGATGGTTGCACTAGCACTAGTCTCACTTTATTGCTGTAATTTGTTTGGGTATATAGGATTCAGGAATAGTTTCAATTTATTGTTTGCAGTAGCACTTTCATGATTAGTTTCATTGTATTGCACTAGCACTTTTTTTTTGTTCCTTTGGTGCAATTTTTGAGTAGTTATAGATAATTATACAGCGTTTGTGTATTTCATCATTAATACGCAGTTCAGTTTTTGGGCACCAATTCACAAAAAGAACATTGGGGAACTGGAGAAAGTACAGAGAAGGGCAACTAAACTGATAAGAGGCATGGAGGAGATCAGCTATGAGGAAAGATTAGAGGAACTGAATATATTCTCTCTTGAGAAGAGGAGATTAAGGGGGGGATATGATCTCCATGTATAATACATAAGGGGGGATATGATCACCATGTATAATACATAAGGGGGGATATGATCTCCATGTATAATACATAAGGGGGATATGATCACCATGTATAATACATAAGGGGGATATGATCTCCATGTATAATACATAAGGGGGGATATGATCTCCATGTATAATACATAAGGGGGGGATATGATCTCCATGTATAATACATAAGGGGGGATATGATCTCCATGTATAATACATAAGGGGGATATGATCTCCATGTATAATACATAAGGGGGATATGATCTCCATGTATAATACATAAGGGGGGATATGATCTCCATGTATAATACATAAGGGGGGATATGATCTCCATGTATAATACATAAGGGGGGATATGATCTCCATGTATAATACATAATAAGGGGGGGATATGATCTCCATGTATAATACATAAGGGGGGATATGATCACCATGTATAATACATAAGGGGGGATATGATCACCATGTATAATACATAAGGGGGGATATGATCTCCATGTATAATACATAAGGGGGGATATGATCTCCATGTATAATACATAAGGGGAGATATGATCTCCATGTATAATACATAAGGGGGATATGATCACCATGTATAATACATAAGGGGGATATGATCTCCATGTATAATACATAAGGGGGGATATGATCTCCATGTATAATACTTAAGGGGGGATATGATCTCCATGTATAATACATAAGGGGGGATATGATCTCCATGTATAATACATAAGGGGGATATGATCACCATGTATAATACATAAGGGGGGATATGATCTCCATGTATAATACATAAGGGGGGATATGATCACCATGTATAATACATAAGGGGGGGGATACGATCTCCATGTATAATACATAAGGGGGATATGATCTCCATGTATAATACATAAGGGGGGATATGATCTCCATGTATAATACATAAGGGGGGATATGATCACCATGTATAATGCATAAGGGGGGATATGATCACCATGTATAATACATACATAAGGGGGGATATGATCTCCGTGTATAATACATAAGGGGGGATATGATCACCGTGTATAATACATAAGGGGGGATATGATCTCCATGTATAATACATAAGGGGGATATGATCTCCATGTATAATACATAAGGGGGGGATATGATCTCCATGTATAAATACATCAGTGGTTCATATAGTGAACTCGGTGTAGTTATTCCCCCTGAGGTCATCACAGACGACAAGGTGGCACTCTTTACTTCTGGAGGAAAAGAAATTTAATTTCCAAACACGGAAAGGTTTCTTCACAGTGAGAGCTGTGAGAATGTAGAATGGACTCCCTCAAGAGTTGTTTCTAGCCAGCTCAGTGGATTGCTTTAAAAAAGTCCTGGATTCTTTCCTAGATACACAGAATATAACTGCATAATGTAACTATGTAATATATTGCCCATTTAGATATTCATTTTGGTTGATTCTTATGTTTGCACATATTTATTAGGTTGGTTCACCTTTAAGTGCTAGTAGCTTTTTTTCTCCAAGTGCTCACTGTTGTTTTTTTAGTAGCATTTAGGAGTGTTTAGCGTTTTTTCTGCTGGAAATATGCTCCCAAAATTCTACAAAAACAGCTTTTTTTCTGCTTCTAAACGCTGAAGCTTGAAAAACACTACTAGCCTGAAATAGTGTGCATGGACACATCGGGTTAACACTATTTAGCTTCTAGGAGCTTAAAAAAATGCTAGTGTGGATGGAGCCTTAACCTCTTCCCGACTGCCCTATAGCAGAACTACTGCTACAAGGTGGCAGGGTTGCACAAAATCACGTATATATACGTGATTTTGTATATCTGGCACGCACATGTCCCCTGCCTGTGCTTTGGCTGTCTATCACTGGGTCCCCGGCCGGTGATTCCCCGCCAGCACCCGGCGATCACCAAGTAACACTGACAGGGGAGAGGTCTGTATGTAAACAATACAGATCTCTCCCCTGTCAGCTCCAGTATGCTGTTTTGTATTGCTCTGCATACACAGTAAAACACACAGCACACATTTAACCCTTTGATCACCCCAGTTTTTAACCCATACCTGCCCAGTGTCATTAGTACAGTGTCAGCGCTTTTTAGTAGCTGCTACAGGGCAGCACGGGTGCGCATTTTCGGGTAGGGGGCTCTACCCGCTCCACCATTCGTGGCCGCAGCTGTCAATCACCGGGTCCCAGCTGGTGATTATTTTGCCGGTGCCCGATGATTACCGAGGATCTCCAACGGGGAGGAGAACTGTTTTGTATACTAACGTTTCTCCTCTCTGTCAGCTTGGGCACACAGCTCTGAATGGTTGTGCACAGCACGGCCATCCAGAGCAGTGTGCTTACAGTGAAACACACAGACACCGCCCCATAGTAAAACACACCCTGCACACAGTTATCCCTTTGATCTCCCCTCATGTTATCCCCTTCCTGCCCAGTGCTTTTCTTTTTAGCACTGATTATTTTTATTATTATTGTTATATACAGTATTTATAAAGCGCCAATAGTTCACTGTATTTGTGTCACTGGGGATGTCAGTGACACCAAGTCAGTTCCCCCCATTGCAGTCCCGCTAGTATAAGTAAATAAAAATTCCAGTATATATACCACCATTTGTAAACGCTATAACTTTCATGTAAACCAATTAATTTACAGGTATTTGGATTTTTTGTTTAGCAAAGACATGTAGAAGAATAAATTTTCGCCTAAATTTATGCCAAAATTTGATTTTACAGCAAAAAGTCAAAAATATTGTTGTTTTTTTTCCCAAAATTGTCAGTCTTTTGTTTATAGCGCACAAAATTAAAAACGCACAGGCGATCAAATACCACTGAAAGAAAGCTCCATTTGTGGGAAAAATGGACATAAATTTCAGTTGGGTGCAGCGTTGCATGAACGTGTAATTGTCAAAGTAATGCAGCACCGTAAAGCAAAAAAATGGCCTGGTCAGGAAGGGGGGGAAATCTTCAAGAGGGCAAGTGGTTAAAGGCTTTAAATGCTTTAACGTATTTCTTGAACTACATAATCCTATCAGCAGGGGGCACTGTTTGTCCATAAGACTCTACTACAGACTCACTTGTGAGTTTATTGACAATAAAAAGTTCATTGATTGATATATAAAATAACTTTATTGACAAACCAAAAACATAACTAAATAACATTATCGGGCACAAGGCGCATTGCAGTTCTGCGCCGGACTACGCAGGTCGGATACGTTTTCTGCTTGTCGTTAGCACGCCCTGAGCTCGACAACTCATCCCATAACATGCTGAGAGTGGCAGTGGGCCTTAGTACACCAAGCAGTACACAGATTCAAAAACATGACGCAACAGGTTCCATTAAGGACCGTTTGTGCTCTCTATACCAATCATATTCTTTAAGTAAAGAAAGGGAGAATCTGATTGGGTGCCCTGTGCAACCAGGACTGTTGTACCCACAGGAACCCTCCATTGTGACATTGTACCTCCTGTACAGAATTTCACCGCAGGAATAAATATTTACCTCTGGGGTCTGCTTGTAAATATTTTCACTTAGATTCACACAACATTCACCCAATAACATGTGAGTCCTGGGTGAATCTTGTGTACAGGGGCAGACTGACCATTTTGGAACTCGGCACTGCCCAAGGGCCCGGGGTCAGTAGGGGACCCCATGAGATGCCCCTGGTACCTTTCATAGGCTTTTTTGGGTGTGGTTTGAGTGTGGGTGAGGACACCGGGGTGCCATGATCCCCTATTGCCGGGGGGCCCCATGAGTTGTCAGTCCACCCCTGCTTGTGTCAAAACATTTATAAAGAGACACCTTAGTGTTATGGGGCGATCACGCTTTTTTGAACATCCCGTGAAATGTGACGGGAATGTTGGTGTCGACTTCAGCTCTGGCGATTTCACTCATGTCTTTGGCATCCAAAATCAGCATGAAAGATGGTTTGTGCCCCACACCTGGGCAAACAGCGATGCTGAGCAACACACCTACAAAATTACAAAAAAAAAAAAAAAAAAAAAGTATAATGTATTCAATTAGATCAAAAATGTCACAAAATGTCAAATCAAATTGTATCTAAAATTAAGAACAAATACAATCCTGCCAGTAACACACTTTCTATTCCTATGACAAGGCTCACTCATTGTGGGCAGCACAGTGGCTAAATGGTTAGCACTTCCGCCTGGCAGTACTGGGGTCGTTGGTTCAAATCCCAGCCACGGCACCACCTGCCTGGAGTTTGCATGTTCTCCCTGTTCCTGTGTGGGTTTCCTCCGGGTACTCCAGTTTCCTCCCACACTCTAAAGACATGCTGGTAGGTTAATTGGCTCCTGTCTAAATTGTCCCTAGTATGTGTATGTATGAATGTGAGTTAGGGACCTTAGATTGTACGCCCCTTGAGGGTTAGGGACTGATGTGAATGTACAATATATATGTAAAGTGCTGCGTAAATGGACGGCGCTATATAAGTACCTGACATAAATAATAATAAATAATTCTGTGGATGAGCAGCATTGTTACCATAGTTCAGGACTATAGAACACCTCTCCGACTCACTATTGCCTCTACATATGAGGCAGGTGTTCTGTAGTTTACAGAGAGAACTGGGAACAATGTAGCTGATAACAGTCAGTACAGAGAGCACAGGAAGTTTTCAGTTCACTAGATTCCTGCCAGGATCAACAGGTAATTTTTTTGTACTTAACGGAGGAGCCAGCTGCCAATCAGGCAGCGGGATGAATCCCGACAATATTGTCAGGATGCTTCCTAAGCCTGGAACAGCACTGCGCCATCAGCCAATAGCAGGCAATACCCGGATTACAGGAGGAAAAAAGTAAGTGCACATCTGTGTCCCATAAGAGAAGTATGGCCAAAAAAAAAGCTTTTGTCACAATTCTCTTTTATTGCAGTATCATTTCTAAAGTCATCATCAGTGAAAGTGTCTCTAGAAAGTTCTGCTATTTCCTCCTAACCATTAATTATGTAGGCCATAGACGGTTCGTATATCGGCCAAATTTTCGTCCAAAAGAATAATTGGCCAATATTCGCACCGTTAGTGGGGCTATGTCGTTGGCCGATTTTCGTGGTTCCTCCTAGTTTATTTTATCAGTCATGGTGGAAAATTTACGAAAAAACGGCCGATTTTCGTAAGCATTGGTGGCAACAAAACGACCGATTTTTCGGCCAATAAACGAACCGTCTATGGCCTGCCTTAGACTCAAACATTCAGGTTCTGGATATCATTTTAACCAATAGACGCGCCTGGCCAATAGCTGTTTGGCGGCTGGAAAAATACATTAGATTTCTGGGTGGACGCCATATGGCGTACTCCCGGGCATGCGCAGTTTGCGCGCTTGCAGAGCCACGCAGCGGCGTGATCTGTCACTGGCCGTGTACCTCGGACACGGCCGATGACAGATCTGAGTACCGGCCCCCCCATTGCCGGTACCATGTGACCTGCTGTAACCAATCACAGCAGGTCACATGACAGTTGTATACAATGGATGGCTTCATTCATGCCATCCATTGTATACTAGTGTCTAGCTGTGAATGGTCACAGCTAATCACATGCACATGTCATGTGATTAGCTGTGGCCAATTCACAGCTAAGCACAAAAAAAAAACAAAAAACCCTGAATGAATCGATGTCATTCAGGTAAATGCTTGCTTCTAGCAAAGTAATTCTTTGTTATAAGCAAATTGTGTAAAAAAAAAAAAAAATACTGATCACTTCCCCAAAGTAGTACAATGTTACTATGGTAACATTGTACTACTTTGGTCATAGTGAAATATGAAAAAAAAAATCTTAAAAAAAAGAAAAAAATATAATAAAAATTTAAAATTAATAAAAAAAATTAAAAAAAATTATATATTTTTTTTTTCATACTGTCAGTGTCCCTGATCACTGCCATGCCAGTTATATGATGATGCTGTACTGCACTGGTGACAGTATGTAAAAACAAATAGTGAAAATAATTTACATTTTTTTTAATTTTCCAAACAATTATGACAAAAAATTACAACTTTAAAAAATTCGCCATGCCTCTTATGAAGTACGTCGGACTGTCTACTTTGCAAAAAGGGGTCATTTGGGGGATATCTGTACTGTTCTGACATTTGGGGGATATCTGTACTGTCCTGACATTTGGGGGGATATCTGTACTGTTCTGACATTTGGGGGATATCTGTACTGTCTGACATTTGGGGGATATCTGTACTGTCTTGACATTTGGGGGATATCTGTACTGTTCTGACATTTGGGGGATATCTGTACTATTCTGACATTTGGGGGATATCTGTACTGTCTTGACATTTGGGGGATATCTGTACTGTTCTGACATTTGGGGGATATCTGTACTATTCTGACATTTGGGGATATCTGTACTATTCTGACATTCTTGGACCTCAAGAAATTAGATTGGCTGTCAGTACTTCAGGACTGATCAATATTCAGATCTATACCATAGTTTGTGAACTCTATAACTTTCCTACAAACTAAATAATACATCCTAATTTGGGTTATTTTCACCAAAGACATGTAGCAGAATATATCTCGGCCTAAATTTATGAAGAACAATTATTTATTTGCAAACTTTTATAACAGAAACAAAGAAAAACGTGTTTTTTTTTCAAAATATTCTGTCTTTTTTTGCTAATTTAGCAAAAAATAAAAACCTCAGTGGTGATTAAATACCACCAAAAGAAAGCTCTAGTTGTGTGAAGAATAAATGAATGATAAAATTTTAGTTTGGGTACAATGTTGTATGACCGCACAATTGTCATTCAAAGTGTGAGAGCGCTGAAACCTGAAAAATGGCCTGGGCAGGAAGGGGTAAAATTTTAAAATAAATTGTTTAAATTTTCATTACATTATTTTAGTCCCAGTGATCTCATCACTTGGTCTCTGTCATTCCTTATGCAATACACCCAGATGCTAGCTGGTGGGAGGGGCCAACAGGATGCTGTACATAGCTTCCTGAAAACATCACAGCACCCTGCCTCAGTACTTCTCGCAAGAGCCCTCAGCCTTGATGCAAGCAGTGGGCCGGCTCTTAGGAGGAGTTATGCAAATTTTAAAATATTTTGATGGGTAGGTTGTCAACCTGGAGGAATGGGCGTGCCCAGGTAACACCCACATGTCATGCAGAGCCTTCATGATTGAAAGAACTGAAATCCAATGAATGAAAGAGGCAGGCCAGGGACAGTCAGGCCGGGGAGAAAAGAAATAGATGATGCTGGATGTGCTCTAGGCAGGAGATCATGAGGGCTCTATCTTCTAATGCACATTGTGAGCAGCAGCTCATAGTGTGCAATGAAAGCAATTTCAGTACAGAGGAGGAGCTTGTATAATTGTGCAAGACTGCATGGAAGGGTGGAGAAAACCCCATGAATTGCTTTCACTTGATAGATCACACCTTCAGAACATTTATAATCTACAGTTTTGATTTTGTTGTTGTTACCGTCATCCTCTTCTGTGGCGTCCGGGGATGCTACAAATATCGGCTCAGAGGGGTAGGTATTGGGCTCTTGCCATACCCAAGTTTCTTTGGTTTTGACGTTCAGCTTCGTAAGCTGCAACAACATAAAATCTTGTTAGCAGAGCTCCGCGGAGGCGGGCACACAAGGCAGGGGCAGGGATGAGTGACGCTTACCCTGTCCGGAATAAAATTGTTCAGGCCCAGTCCGTAGGCATACGAATAATCTTTTCCAGCGTACTTTTTATAATTGATCTGTGGGAATTCAAAGGCTGTAAAGATAATCATAGCTTCAGAGGGAATTGTAGTAATAAAAGAATACGTTTCATCAGGGATTTTTTTCTCCGAGAATAAGTGCAGGAACTCCCCCTTCTGAGTCACCCCTTGTCTCCGCCCCCTACCCACCTCTGAGCACTGTCCCTTGGTTCCACCCCCTAACCACCTCCCAGTACCGCCCATTTTAGAGAATACAGAGCCAAGTATCATTTTGTGATATGGAATTTAATGATAACATAAAAAGTAGTTAATAGATCCCTTGCCAGCAACAATAGATGCCCCCCCAGGGCGGTCTGACCATTTGAAAACTTGGGCACTGCCCGAGGGCTCGGGGTCTGTAGGGGGCCCCATGAGATGCCCCTGGTACCTTTTTCATAGGCTTTTTTGAGTTTGGCCAAGGACACAGGGGCCCCATGATCCCCTATTGCCCAAGGGCCGCATGAATTGTCAGTCCGCCCCTGATGCCCCCCAATGACAAAATACCACCCCTGCAATAATAGACCCCCAGCAGCAACAACAGATCTTCCGGCAGCCAGCATTAACCGCTTCCCGTCCGCCCTATAGCAAAAATACTGCTACAGGGCGGCACCGGTGCGCAAAATCATGTACTGTATATATACATGATTTGCATTTCTGGGTAGACCCAGCTGTCAATGACTGGGTCCCAGCCGGAGATTACTCGCTGGCAGGTGATTTCTGACAATCTCCGACAGGGAGGAGGACTGTTTTGTTTACTAATAGTTCTCCTCCCTGTCAACTCGGGCATACTGCACAGCACAGCCATCCAAAGCAGTGTGATTACAGTGAAGCACGCTGACACAGCCCCCTATGTAAAACACTCCCAGCACATAGTTAACCCTTTGATCGTCCCTCGTGTTAACCCCTTCCTGCCCAGTGCCATTAGTACAGTATCAGTGCTTTTTTTTTTTAGCACTGATCACTGTATTGGTGTCACTGGGGATGTCAGTTCCCCTCAGTGACAGAATGCCTGCTGCAGGCCCGCAGTCCTGCTATAAGTCGCTGATCGCTGCTATTACTAGTAAAAAAAAAGTATCTATACCGCCATTTGCAAACGCTATAACTTTCACGTAAACCAATTAATTTACACGTATTGGGATTTTTTTTCTAACAAAGACATGAAGCAGAATACATTTTGGCCTAAATTTATGCCGAAATTTGATTTAAAACATTTTTTTTACTGGGCATGTTTAATAGCAAAAAGTAAAAAATATTGTTTTTTTTTTCTCTTTTTTTTATAGCGCAAAAAATAAAAAATGCACAGGGAACTGCGTTCCTGCTGAAAAAAATGTTTCTTCATGAGATACACAGCCTCTGCTTCCTTCTCAGTAATACCGCACACAATGAGGTCCTGTAGATCTTCTTATGTCACTGCCAGGGGCGGACTGACAACTCACGGGGCCCCCAGGCAATAAGGGATCATGGGGCCCCTGTGTCCTCGCCCACACCCAAAAAAGTCTATGAAAAAGCCAATGAATGGTACCAGGGGCATCCCATGGGGCCCCCTACTGACCCCGGGCCCTCGGGCAGTGCCCGAGAGCTCAAACGGTCAGTCCGTCCCTGGTCACTGCAAGTCTACCAGACAGGGTCTGTCTCACTGTGAAAAAATAGATTCTCTGTCCTCTCTAGCGAAGTAAAGCACCCTAAGTGACTGGACAGGGTAGAGAGCTTTTTATACCAATGGGATTGTACATTGTAGATCAGGGGTCTCCAAACTTTATAAGCGAAGGGCCAGTTTATTGTCCTTCAGTCTTTAGTGGGGCCGGACCATGGCCATCGGGAGTAGAAAATGTCCTGGCATCAGTGGGAGTAAGCAATCCTCCATTGCTGTCTTAGCCAATGGGGAGGCAGAAACCCAGTACAACTGAGGCTGTTATTCACATCATTGGATCATGATGGGGCTCAGGTGATGTCGGTGAAAGGAATTGTGCACCATCAATGGTGTTATTGGGAGGAATTGTGCCCTAACATTGGTGTCATTAGGCCCCATAATTGGTGTCATTTGGATGAACTATGTCCCATCATTGGTGTCATTGGGCCTCATTGTTGGTATCATTGGGATGAACCGTGCCCCATAATTGGTGTCATTGGGCCCCATTGGGATGAACTGTGTCCCATCATTGGTGTCATTGGGCCCCATTGTTGGTATCATTGGGATGAACTGTGTCCCATAATTAATTCATCCCAATGATACCATCAATGGGGCCCAATGACACCAATGATGGGGCACAGTTCATCTCAATGATACCAACAATGGGGCCCAATGAAACCAATGATGGGACACAGTTCATCCCAATGATACCAACAATGGGGCCAAATGACACCGTGTCCCATCATTGGTGTCATTGGGCTCCATTGTTGGTATCACTGAGATGAACTGTGTCCCATTATTGGTGTCATTCGGCCCCATTGTTGGTATTATTGGGATGAACTGTGCCCCATCATTAGTTCATCCCAATTATACCAACAATGGAGCCCAATGACACCAATGATGGGGCACAGTTCATCCCAATGATACCAACAATGGGGCCCAATGACACCAATGATGGGACACAGTTCATCCCAATGATACCAACAATGGGGCCCAATGACACCGTGTCCCATCATTGGTGTCATTGGGCCCCATTGTTGGTATCATTGGGATGAACTGTGCCCCATCATTGGTGTCATTGGTAGGAATTGTATCCCTTCATTGGTGTTAGTGGATGAAATAGTGCCCAAAGGTCCAGATGAAAGCAAGCAAAGGGCCACATCAGGCCGCAGTTTGGGGACCACTATTTGTTGAGTATGTATAATAATTAAAAAAATATATCTTTTAGAGCACTTAACATGAACTGAAACCAAAATCCAAAGGAAAGTCACTGGAAAGCAGCGTATTCTTACACAGCAAACGCATAGGGGCCTATTTATTAAAAATTGACTTTGCAAATGTCTCAGCATTTGCCCAGCTGTCACAAATAATCCCCGCAATGTGTCTAACATGTTTATCTCCTATGATCCTTGGCTCCATCTAGTGACCATCACATAGTATTTTCCTGAAAACCTCAATCAGGAAAATACTGCATAATGGCCACTAGATGGAGTTGGCACTTTAAACTGGCCATGTTCAAACAGTAGTGTTACCATTAAAGGTTCCATACTTTGAAACAATAATTACAGAGAGTACAAACCTTGCCGTGGCCCTGAGAAGAGAACCTCAGGCTCAAGCCAGATGGTGTCATCGCTGCGCAAAGTAGCTGTGGCGGTTGTGTACGGCAAACTAATCAAGTTTTTTCCCACATCATTCTGCGCATGAAAAAAGTAGAGGGAAAAGATGTAGTAAGAAAAGGAGAGAACTGTATCATAAAGCTTTATTTTTCCTTTATAGTCAGGAAAAGATGTAAAGTGTATCTACATCCAGCGAGGAAGAGTTAGAACAAGGGGCGGACTGACCATTTGGAAACTCGGGCACTGCCCGAGGGCCCGGGGTCAGTAGGGGGCCCCATGAGATGCCCCTGGTACCTTTTTCATAGGCTTTTTTGAGTGTTTGGGCAAGGACACAGGGGCCCCATGATCCCCTATTGCCCGGGGGCCCCAGGAGTTATCAGTCCACCCCTGGTTAGAACCGGAGATGGTTAGAATTTAGTGCATAGCCTCAATTCATTACACTGCACAAGTGTAAATTCAAAAGTTGTGATGGAACAGTGGTCTGCGCATATGGGACCCTTCATGCTGCCACTCACTCACAGACTACTCCAGCCGTACCATGCCAGTGTCTGTCCAAAACGGCAGGCCCGGGGCGCTCTGTACGTGCACTGCTGTATCAAAGGCCATGCACGTACAGAGCACTCTACTGGTGCCATTTTGGAACTGACGCTTGTGCTGTATAACGAATTGGAGCCATGCGCTGTGAAATCTACGGTGTCTGCTCCCAGGGATGAATCCAGGGACAGACCCCCCCACAGCAAGGACTGTCCCTAGGGAACGGGAACAAATGGTAAACTTAGCCAATATGCTGGATTTAGAAAAGTTTCCTTCCATTTTATGCTATGTTCTAGAGCAGAAAGTGAAGGTAAATTTCCCCAGTAGGCAGACATGGCCCATGGCCCGGTAATTGTGTGGCTTCCAGTAGTTCATTATTATTGGGCAGCACAGTGGCTAAATGGTTAGCACTTCCGCCTGGCAGTACTAGGGTTGCTGGTTCAAATCCTGACCATGGCACCACCTGCCTGGAGTTTGCATGTTCTCCCTGTGCCTGCATGGGTTTCCTTCAGGTACTCCAGTTTCCTCCCACACTCCAAAGACATGCTGGTAGGTGAATTGGCTCCTGTGTAAATTGGCCCTAGTATGTGTATGTGAGTTAGGGACCTTAGATTGTACACCCCTTGAGGGTTAGGGACTGATGTGAATGTACAATATATATGTAAAGCGCTGTGTAAATTGATGGCGCCATATAAGTACCTGAAATAAATAAAAAAATAAATAAATTATTTATTGTGTACCGCTCTGATCATATCAAGCCGCCGCTCTCCTCTTTTCCAGGACATCCGCTGCGGTTTGTGTGTGCCTCTGTGGGAGGAAGAGTCTGCGGAGAAGGGGAGGCCGCCCGCAACTACCCAAACAACGCGTCGCCATGGCAACCGGCGGCCCAACATATCAAGGAGGCACGTAGTGCTGGCAGTTGAATGAGACCTCCTGATGTCCGGGATTGTAAACTGAGGAGCAGGGACGAACTGACCATTTGAGAACTCGGGCACTGCCCGAGGGCCCGGGGGCAGTAGGGGGCCCCATGAGATGCCCCTGGTACCTTTCATAGGCTTTTTTGGATGTGGTTTGAGTGTGGGCAAGGACACAGGGGCCCCATGATCCCCTATTGCCCGGGGGCCCCATGAGTTGTCAGTCCACCCCTGCTGAGGAGCCTTCTCATGATCCTGACCCATCCAAGCACCCAGAGGAGGGAATCCCTGTAACACAGGCTGCAGACCCATCCATCCTTAAAGGGGACCTCTGGATGAGCAGACCTTTATATCCAGCCCAAGAATATTCTGCTGCTGTGCTGTTCCATACCTGGAAGGAAGTTTACCATACGCCTGGCATATCCCGCTCCCATAAGTGGACGGTGGTGAATTTATTTATATGCGCATATTCAATGCGCATCCAGTGAGTGCGCAATTTTACTATAACTTCCAAGCACAAGCATCTGAGTTCTGCTGCAGTTGGGATCCTTTATTACTATCATCATTTATTATTTATGAACTTTTATGAACTTTTTATGTTTTATTCGTCACTTTTATTTACTAACTTATATTAGCACTGCACTTCTTATTTATTATAATAAAAAAAATCCGACTGAGTTTCTAAACATTATATACAGTATACAAAACTAGAACAAGGTTTTTATTATAGATACACAGTAAAAGAGAACTCTGGTTAGGAAAAGTCATCAGCAAATTTTTAGAGCAGGTTATATGCGCAGTGCAGCTTTGGCCATGAGCTGTAGTGAACTGGAGCTTACTAATTAGATAAGAATACAAAGATTCAGAGGGGAGCTCAAAGGCACCTACATCCCAAATGGCAGCATGATGCAAGAGAAGGGAGGAGGGATACAAAGAAAGAATAAAGAAGAGGAGAATGAACTCCTCACTGAAAAAAGATGATCGGGACTTTAAAGGTGCCAATAATAACAAAACAAAAAAAAAATTACAACATTTATTTCAATCATTTAAAATAAACAAGTTTAACATCTACACTTGAGTGTTTAAACTGGGTAGTAGTACTGGTTATAATAATCTGAATCCGGTGCATTACTTCTCAACATGTTTCACCTATTTACAGGCTTCTTCAGGAGATAATGAATATAGCACCTATAACCATGGAACATGTAAATGACAAAATACTAACAATTAACAGATCAAATAAGGCATTGAGTGCCAAAAAACATACAAAGAAAATAGGAATATATATATATATATATATATATATATATATAAAACATCGATGAAGGGCAACTTACCAGCAGATGCATAACTGGCTCATTTACAGACATTACAAATAGATGGGCCAGTTATGCACCTGCTGGTAAGTTGCCCATATATATATATACTGTATATATATGTATTCCTCTTTTCTTTGTATATTTTTTTGGTATTCAATGCCTTGTTTATTTGATCTGTTAATTGTTAGTAGTTTGTAATTTACATGTTTCATTGTTATAGGTGCTATATTCATTACCTCCTGAAGAAGCCTGTAAATAGGTGAAACATGTTGAGAAGTAATGCACCGGATTCAGATTATTGTAACCAGTACTACTACCCAGTTTAAACACTCAAGTGTAGATGTTATACTTGTTTATTTTAAATGATTGAAATAAATGTCATTTTTTAAAAACATTTTTTTGTTATTAATGGCACCTTTAAAGTCCAGATCATCTCCTTTTCTTTATTCTTTCTTTGTATCCCTCCTTCCTTCTCTTGCATCACATTTATTAGATAAGCATATATCCCCCATTACTAATTAAATCAGTACAGGAGTTCATATGTTTCTTTTCTATTTTTGTAGCCCTGAAGAAGGAATGGGGGGACTTTAAGCCCCCCAAAAATGTTGTCTGTTCTGTGTTATCTTTTTGTGATCCAATATCAATATGTAAAGCTTTTGGATTCTCAGACCTTACATGTGCCTCACTCATTGGACTTTCTAAATGTGAATCTTCAAATCTGGCCTCCTGTTTCGGGGGACACCCTGTTTTTGTTGAGAGTCGCCTCACCAATGCCACTCTACCTTATCACAATCTGATGGATCTACCGCAAATCTAAATCCAATGCCCCATTTATAATTATTTAGTAATGTCTACCTTCATTTTGTAAAGCGCTGCGCAAACTGTTGGTGCGATATAAATCCTGTATAATAATAATAACTAATATCTAGCTTCATTTTGTAAAGTGCTGCGCAAACTGTTGGCGCTATATAAATCCTGTATAATAATAATAATAATTTAGCTCCTAAAAAAGCTCTCCTGGAATACTCTACCTTCTGGATATCGAGAGGCAAGACGTATCGGCGTGCTTCTGGCTGTGGCGCTTTGTCTGCGATCCTTTTAACTTCTTCCCAGTTTTCACGCAAGTTGGCCAGATAAAGGTAATTGTAGATGAACTCAAAGCTGTAAGAGAGACAACCAGACATTTTGGTCAACTTCCAGAACTCCTATAGAATGGATGACGCTGTCTGGTATTAATATGTAGACCCGGGGGATCATGAGCAAAGTCAGAATTGGAAATCCCCAAAAAGTGCTGAAGAGCCTTATAGATGAACTCAAGGCAAACAGTTAACCAAAAAATGAAATACATAGATAGAGCTGTTTTACCTGCCAAAGCGTTTGTGTTTCTGTCCATCCAGCTCTACGATTACACAGCTCTGGCAGACAGGACAGCCCTGTCTGCCAGGACAGGAGACTGAAGTTTTTTCTTTGCTGCAGTTAACTAACACTGAGAAAGGTATTAAATACTTAGAAGTCTTACACTGACTTGGCATGCATGAACATGGAAAAAAAGATCTGATGACAGGTCCACCTTGATTGGACTCCAAATATATGCACCAAAACTCCTCTCCTGAAATGACTTGGGTAAATAAACTGATCCAAAATGAGGACTGCGTGCTGGTATCCCCTATATGTGCATTCTACAGATGGAGATATGAGTCCAAAATGTTTTGCTACATCAGCCCCCTCCTAATGGGAAATGTAAAAAGAACATGTTACCCTTTCCAGCAGCACACGTCCACTATTAGAAATCCATTGTCTTCATAGGTGTTGATGTGGTGGAAAATGTTGAAAGCCGAAGTTCTGTATTTTATATTGAGATATTCCCCGGTGTGCTTTTCTGCGACGTGCATCCAAACCTATATAACACAGGAGAAGAGTATAGGCTCTATCCGTACCTACATAACACAGGAGAAGAGTATAGGCTCTATCCGTACCTACATAACACAGGAGAAGAGTATAGGGTCTATCCGTACCTACATAACACAGGAGAAGAGTATATGTTCTATCCGTACCTACATAACACAGGAGAAGAGTATAGGGTCTATCCGTACCTACATAACACAGGAGAAGAGTATATGTTCTATCCGTACCTACATAACACAGGAGAAGAGTATAGGCTCTATCCGTACCTACATAACACAGGAGAAGAGTATAGGCTCTATCCGTACCTACATAACACAGGAGAAGAGTATAGGCTCTATCCGTACCTACGTAACACAGGAGAAGAGTATAGGCTCTATCCGTACCTACATAACACAGGAGAAGAGTATAGGGTCTATCCGTACCTACAAACACAGGAGAAGAGTATAGGGTCTATCCGTACCTACATAACACAGGAGAAGAGTATATGTTCTATCCGTACCTACATAACACAGGAGAAGAGTATATGTTCTATCCGTACCTACATAACACAGGAGAAGAGTATATGTTCTATCCGTACCTACATAACACAGGAGAAGAGTATATGTTCTATCCGTACCTACATAACACAGGAGAAGAGTATATGTTCTATCCGTACCTACGTAACACAGGAGAAGAGTATAGGGTCTATCCGTACCTACGTAACACAGGAGAAGAGTATAGGGTCTATCCGTACCTACGTAACACCAGTTATATCTACATAACACAAGAAAAGGGTATATGTTCTATCCATACCTACACAACACAGGACCAGGGGCGGACTGACCATTTGGAAACTCGTGCACTGCCCGAGGGCCCGGGGTCAGTAGGGGGCCCCATGAGATGCCCCTGGTACCTTTTTCATAGGCTTTTTTGAGTTTGGGCAAGGACACAGGGGTCCCATGATCCCCTATTGCTCGGGGGCCCCATGAGTTGTCAGTCTGCCCCTGCACAGGAGAACAGTATATGGTCAATCCATCCATACCTACACAACACAGGAGAACAGTATATGGTCTATCAATACCTACACAACACAGGAGAACAGTATATGGTCTATCCGTACCTACATAACACCAGCTTTACTTTCTTACTACCGGAGAAGAGTACATGTTCTATCCATACCCACATAACACAACCTATATCTACATAACACACGAGAAGAGTATAATTTGTATCCATACCTACATAACACCATCCATGCCTACATACCACATGGGAACAGTATACATTATCTTCTATCCATACCTACATAATGCAAGAGAAGAGTATATGTCCTCTCTGAACCTACATAACACCATCAATACCAACATCAATGCAGGAGAAGAGTATATGTTCTACCCATATGCACGTACCACAACAGAACAGTATACAGTATGTTCTATTCATACCTACAGTGGGGATCGAAAGTTTGGGCACCCCAACTAAAAATTTGTATTAATGTGCATAAAGAAGCCAAGGAAAGATGGAAAAATCTCCAAAAGGCACCAAATTACAGATTAGACATTCCTATAATATGTCAACAAAAGTTAGATTTTATTTCCGTCATTTACACTTTCAAAATAACAGAAAACAAAAAAATGGCGTCTGCAAAAGTTTGAGCACCCTGCAGAATTTATAGCATGCACTGCCCCCTTTGCAAAGCTGAGACCTGCCAGTGTCATGGATTGTTCTCAATCATCGTCTGGGAAGACCAGGTGATGTCAGTCTCAAAGGTTTTAAATGCCCAGACTCATCTGACCTTGCCCCAACAATCAGCACCATGGGTTCTTCTAAGCAGTTGTCTAGAAAACTGAAACTGAAAATAGTTGACGCTCACAAAGCTGGAGAAGGCTATAAGAAGATAGCAAAGCGTTTTCAGATGTCAATATCCTCTGTTCGGAATGTAATTAAGAAATGGCAGTCATCAGGAACAGTGGAAGTTAAAGCAAGATCTGGAAGACCAAGAAAAATATCAGACAGAACAGCTCGCAGGATTGTGAGAAAAACAATTCAAAACCCACGTTTGACTGCACGATCCCTCCAGAAAGATCTGGCAGACACTGGAGTTGTGGTACACTATTCCACTATAAAGAGATACTTGTACAAATATGGTCTTCATGGAAGAGTCATCAGAAGAAAACCTCTTCTCCGTCCTCACCACAAAAATTATCATTTGAACTTTGCAAATGAACATATAGACAAGCCTGATGCATTTTGGAAACAAGTTCTGTGGACCGATGAGGTTAAAATTGAACTTTTTGGCCGGAATGAGCAAAGGTACGTTTGGAGAAGAAGGGGCACAGAATGTAATGAAAAGAACCTCTGTCCAACTGTTAAGCATGGGGTTGGATCAATCATGCTTTGGGGTTGTGTTGCAGCCAGTGGCACAGGGAACATCTCACAAGTAGAAGGAAAAATGGATTCAATAAAATTTCAGCAAATTTTGGATGGTAACTTGATGCCATCTGTGAAAAAGCTGAAGTTAAAGAGAGGATGGCTTTTACAAGTGGATAATGATCCTAAACACACCTCGAAATCCACGGGGGATTACATCAAGAGGCGTAAACTGAAGGTTTTGCCATGGCCTTCACAATCTCCTGACCTCAACATAATTAAAAATCTATGGATAGACCTTAAAAGAGCAGTGCGTGACAGACAGCCCAGAAATCTCAAAGAACTGGAAGACTTTTGTAAGGAAGAATGGGCAAAGATACCTCAAACAAGAATTGAAATACTCTTGGCTGGCTACAAAAAGCGTTTACAAGCTGTGATACTTGCCAAAGGGGGCAGTACAAGATATTAACTCTGCAGGGTGCCCAAATTTTTGCAGACGCCATTTTTTTTGTTATTTTGAAAGTGTAAATGATAGAAATAAAATCTAATTTTTGTTGACATATAAGAATGTCTAATCTGTAATTTGATGCCTTTTGTAGATTTTTCTATCTTTCCTTGGCTTCTTTATGCACATTAATACAAATTTTTAGCTGGGGTGCCCAAACCTTCGATCCCCACTGTACATAACACAGGAGGAGAGTATATATTCTATAGACCTGTGCAGTTGGTTTCGCTCCGAGTTGAAATTCAGACAAATCTTTCATTATTCGGAGATTCGGATGTATCCAAATTTCCAAATTACAACAGTAAGAAATTTAAACAAATCTGAAATAACTAAACTAAATTTTGTCTGAAATTCTAATTAAAAAACAAGAATAGAATAAAATAGAATACAAAATAAAGGAATAAAATAGAAAATAACAGAATACAATAGAAAATAATACAAAAGAATAGAATAGAAAATAAAAAATAGAATAAAATGGAATAGAAAATAATGGAATGGAATAGAATACAAAAAAATAGAATAAAACAATAGAAAATAAAGGAATAGAATGGAAAATAATAGAATAAAATAGAAAATAATAGAATAGAAAATAATAGAATAGAATAGAACAAAAATAGAATAGAATATAGCCACCCTCTGAAATTTAAATTTCGAAAATAATAGAATAGAATAAAAAATAGAAAAAAATAGAATAGAATTATTATTATTATACAGTATTTATAAAGCGCCAATAGTTCGCTCAGCGCTGTAGAATAGATTATAACATGAAAGAATAAAATAAAATAGAATAGAAAATAGAGGGAAAGAATAGAAAATAATAGAAGAGATTAGAATAGAATAGAAAATAAAAGAACAGAATAGAAAAAACAATAACATAGATCAGTGTTTCTCAACCGGGTTCCATGAGAAGTCCCCAGGGGTTCCACCGCAAATCAACATTATGGTGGATGTATACTGCCCAATGTTGTTTCCAGTAGTGTTCTTAATGCGCGCTGACAGTCAGTACTGTAAGAACGCATACCGGCCATTTTAATAGGTACACCTGTTCAATTGCTGGGTAACACAAATTGCTAATCAACCAATCACATGGCAGCAACTTAATGCATTTAGGCCTCTGTAGCAATTGTATGTACAAATATGGACGCGAACATTCATTTTGCTAAAGATCCTCCATCTTGTGTCATTCTCACTCCAAATCAGCCCCCCTCCCTTTCTGTTGAATGGCAGGTGGTCTGGTGTATGCTGAGTTCAGGAGTGCATCGGGCACAGCTGGATACACTTCATGGTTGTAAACCCAAATAGCTGATGCCATGGTGTCTGTCCAACTCTTGCTCTGAGCTGCTCGTAAAGCTATAAACCCGCCAGTCACTGGACTTGAAAGCATTCCGGAATAGCAGTAAAACATACATCTCATTTGGAAACCACTTTTTCATACACTTTCATAACTTCTCGCAGGAAATACGTACAATAAAACAAAACATATATTCAGATAGGTCAGTTTTAATGCGAGTCACCTGATACCTTACATCCCTAGATTACGTCTACCCGAGAGCAGAAAGCGATATCTCCGTAACCGTCCCAAGCAGATATGCCATATCTGGTGTCTGGACGTTCAGAATATCATTCTGCATATTATCCTACCAGTGGATAGGATTCTGCATGAACCTATGGAAAGTTATTGACCCTGGTAAAAAATTGGGAGGGATTTGGGTCACAGCCGGGGTCTCCGCCTAAACCCCCTCCCCACATGAGGCGATTGGCCCTTGGCTTCAGAGACACCCCCTCCTGGGACCCTACAAAAAGCTGTCATGCCTGGAGAGAGGTAGATGAGAGATTCTCCCTTTTTAACATCAGGAACCAACTTGAGAGAACGGTACCCTTTTGTTCAGGAAACTTGATCTGATTAACCAAGGACTTTGGCAAGTACTCTACCTCTCTAAACTTCTTTCTGTTATCTCTTTGTTGTGTTATTGCTCTCTGTATTTATATATATATATTGGTTACATATTTTTTCTGTAAATATTTGTATTGCATCATTTTGACCTTTTTAGTAATAAATCCTATTTTCTGAAAAGTGTTGAACTGTTTCTAAAGCTCTTTTATGCAAACTAAGAATCCCTGTCTCTGAAGAGCGCTACTATGTTTTAAACTTCTGCATACATCTGCCTGCGGTGACAGTGTGTATACAGACGCTTATTCAAACATTATAGTGTTACTGCTAATATTGCCGAGTTTCCTCTTTCTCTATACAAAAAAAGGAGGTGGTGGCAGTGTGAAGAATTAATTGCATAATTAACCTGACCCAGTAACAATCGCTCTCAGGCTGCGACACATGGATTGTGGTCCAGTGAGCTCGAAAATCTTTGTGCAGGGTGCAGCTGAGCGTGGCATTGTTATGCACGTGACAGCGCGGTTTTAGATTGGCTAGTCCTTTGATCACAACTTGGTGAGAAGGGCTGGGGGTCTGATGCTGCGCCCATCACAGCATCTAGACGTGATGAAGACGACTTGCTAAAGTTCAAATCGAGCATCAGAATGAGAAGAAGGGGAATTTAAGTGACTTTGAACGTGACATGGTTGTTGGTGCCAGACGGGCTAGTCTAAGTATTTCAAAAACTGCTGACCTACTGGGATTTTCACGCCCAACCATCTCTAGGGTTTACAGAGAATGGTCCGAAAAAGATAAAATATCCAGTTGTGTGGACGAAAATCCCTTGTTGATGTCAGAGGTAAGAAGAGAATGGGCAGACTGGTTTGAGATGATAGAAAGGCAACAGTAACTCAAATAGCCACTCGTTACAACCAAGGAATGCAGAATACCATCCCTGAATGCACGTAGAACCATGAAGCAGATGGCCTACAGCAGCAGAAGACCACACCGGGTGCCACTCTTGTCAGCTAAGAACAGGAAACGGAGGCTGCAGTTTGCACAGGCTCACCAAAATTGGCCAATAGAAGATCGGAAAAAACGTTTCCTGGTCTGATGAGTCTGGATTTCAGCTGTGACATTCAGATGGTAGGGTCAGAATTTGGCATAAATAACATGAAAGCATGGATCCATCCTGCCTTGTATCAATGGTTCAGGCTGGTGGTGGTGGTGTCATGGTGTGGGGGAAATTTTCTAGGCCCACTTTGGGCCCCTTAGTAGCAATTGAGCATCGTTTAAATGCCGCGGCCTACCTGAGTATTGTTGCTGACCATGTCTATCCCTTTATGACTCCAGTGTCCCCATCTTCTGGTGGCTCCTTCCAGCAGGATAATGCACTGTGTCACAAAGATCAAATCATCTCCAACTGGTTTCCTGAACATGACAATGAGCTCACTGTACTCCACAGTCACCAGATCTCCATCCAATAGAGCACCTCTGGGATGTGGTGGAACGGGAGAATCGCAACATGGATGTGCAGCCAACAAATCTGCAGCAACTGCGTGATGCTCTCATGTCAATATGGAGCAAAATCTCTGAGGAATGTTTCCAACACCTTGTTGAATCTATGCCACAAAGAATGAAGGCAGTTCTGAGGTCAAAATGGGGTCCAACCCAGTACTAGCAAGGTGTACCTAATAGAGTGGCCGGTGAGTGTATATCTACACCTTATCCAGTCACTATGGAATGTGTAGATATTGTTTGCCCAAGAAGAGGATGGGGGGGCATGAAAAATGTGAAACCACCTTGTTCTAGTTACGTAATTCCATTCTGGTGTCAGGAAATCTGCACATATCTGTGAAGGTTCTCATTTATCCAGACTGGACTTGTTCTGTAGTTTTAACCGCCTTCTGTCCACCATATAAGGCAAAAACGGGAGGTGGTGGTGGTTCTCTCATTCTGGGAGGACTTCATATGGCGTCCTCCTACTCTAACTGCGTGTGAACACCCTCGGGGGACATGCGGCGCGGCGATTGGTGGTGCACTGTGTCCCTGGGACAGAGCGGACCATCGATCACTGTAAAGAGCCGATGACATCGGCTCTGTCATGTGATCAGCTGTGTCCAATCACAGATGATCACATGTAAATAGGAAATGCCGGTTATCGGCAGTCCACTCCTCCAGCTAACAGCTCGTGAAAAGAGGAGAGTCAGTAATCGGCATTCCTCAGAGGGGACATCTACACTGATCATCAGGGCACTGATGATCAGTGCCCTGATGATCAGTGTAGCCCCATCAGTGTCACCTGTCACTGCCCATCAATGCCACCTGTAAGTGCCCATCAATATTACATACCAGTGCCCATCAGTGCACATCAATGCCACATATCAGTGCCTACCAGTGCACATCAATTCCACATATCAGTGCCCATCAGAGCTGCCTTTCAGTGCCAGTCAGTGCCACCTATCAGTGCCAGTCAGTGTTGTCTATCAGTGCCGCCAATTAGTGCCACCTATCAGTGCCAGTCAGTGCTGCCTATCAGTGCCACCTATCAGTGCCCGTCAGTTTCGCCTAACAGTTCCAATCAGTGCCGCCTAACAGTTCCAATCAGTGCCACCTATTAGTGCCAGTCAGTGCCGCCTATCAATGCCACATAGGCAGTGAAAGGCAGCACTGATCAGGTGGCACTGATAGTTGGCACTGATGGGCATGGACAGGAATCACTTGTGGGCATTGACAGGCATCACTGATAGGCAGTGAAAGGCAAGCACTCATATCAGTGATCCCTGTCAATGCCCACAAGTGATGCCTGTCCATGCCCATCAGTGCCAACTATCAGTGCCACCTCATCAGTGCCAACTATCAGTGCCCCTCACTGCAGCCTCATTAGTGCACATCAGTGAAGGAGAAAAAATACTTAATTACAAAATTTTATAACAAACTTTTTTCCCCAATTTTCTGTATTTTTTTAGTTTGTTTAGCAAAAAAAATAAAAACTCCAATAGTGATTAAATACCACCAAAAGAAAGCTCTATCTGTCTATAAAAAAATGATAATTTTGTTTGGGTGCAGTGTTACATGACCACGCAATTGTCATTCAAAGTGCAACAGCGCTGAAAGCTGATAATTAGCCTGGGCAGGAAGGGGGGTGAAAGTGCCCGGTAGGCAAGTGGTTGAAGGCATTTTGCAGCTTCTCCAATCTATTGCTGCAGTTGTAATGTTTCTTCACATTTACATGCAGGCCAAGCTGTCCAGCAAAGGTAACAGTAACGGGAGCTGGAACTAACAATAAAGGTGGCCTTGTACACATAGATTTTGTTATATCCTGGGGAATACGAAGCAGTCATAAGCTGACATGAGATTGGATTGCAATGGACTGGAGTGTCTTCTCGCAAGACTTCACCTGCTCTGTGTCCCCTGGGAATCTTCCAAGTCTACACTTGGACGGTGACGTCACAGCCAGCGATGTGGAACACGGGGTAATGTATGCATAAATCTATCTTTTTTACAGGTACATTTTATACGTATTAATAGGTGATTAGAAAAGGGGTAAGGACCAAACAATTTGAACATCCCTTGCAGTTGATTGCAAGGTCAGCATTAAGTAAACCAAAACAATATATAAATAAATTAAATATATTAAAATAAATTTGAATAAACATAGATTAAAAGGAAAACCTTCAAACTTTTTTGCTAACAAGTTGTGTTCAGTTTCAAAACTCTGATTTTATTTGCTTTGGAGTTCTGGCTCCTGTAATGTTCAGACTCACCCCCATAGTTTCATGGGACTCGAAGCAGTCCATGTAATTGGCCCCCCAAATACTCCACGCCGAAAGGAACTTCAGCAGATTGATCTTCACTGGTTGTTCTACGAAGACTATATAATTTGGCGACAATCCAAAACTAGAAAATAGAGAAGAAAAGGCTGTCAGTGTACTGCAGAGCTGGTGCTAAAGGCTCATCCACACCATATCTGCATAGATCCAGGGGTGGACTGACCATTCGAGCACTCGGCACTGCCCGAGGGCCCGGGGTCAGTAGGGGGCCCCATGAAATGTCCCTGGTACCTTTTTTATAGGCTTTTTTTTGAGTGTGGGTAAGGACACAGGGGCCCCATGATTCCCTATTGCCCGGGGGCCCCATGAGTTGTCAGTCTGCCCCTGCATAGATCCACACAAGCTCAACACAAGGTCACATAGAATGCAATTGTTTTTTAGATGCCCTGTTCACACCAGGGCTGTTTTAATGCATGGGCACCCCTGGGCACTGATCAGTGGGCTCCAGGTGTATGGGGGCCCCATGATAATCTTGCATGACATCATACATGCCAACTGTCCCAGATTTGCTGGGACAGTCATGCTTTTTATTAGGCTGTCCCAGGATGGCTGTGTCTTGGAACCTGTCCCGTGTACTCCTGATCTCAGCATTGTGCCCTCCTGACTCCCCCTTCCCCGTACTGTGCCCTTTTGCCTCCCCCAACCACCGTATTGTACCCTTTTGTGTTGATTACTCTTTGATTTATGGCATGTTTTCCTATCAATTAAAATCTAATTTATTGAAGGTACTAATAAATATATGTTTAATTCTATCAACTATTTATATTTTAATTCTTCAGAATAGGTGCGGGCCAGGCTGGTAGGGACCCCAGTGCATTACTGTGGCTGGGAGCCTATGACGGCCCTGGTTCACACCATAATGCTGCGTTGAGGTGTGCTGCGCTGCATAAAAATATAGCATGTCTGAAACTTAATACAGAAAAATGCACAGCACTGTATGTCACCAAGCATGGCACAATGCACCGCGGTATATAGACTTGAATGAAGTGCCACTTTCAATAAAATTAAAAAAAGAAAAGTAAAAAAGTAAAGAGTGTGATACAAAGTGACATCTCACTGCCTCTCACTTCCCCTACACAATGTACACCAGTGTGCATGTGTTTTAGTGTGGAGCAGGTGTGAACAATCCCTAAAAGATTAGTATATTACAAAAAAAGTGAAAAGAATGTATAATAAATAAAAGTATCACAGTGACAGCTTACATTTTATACATTTTAAATATCTTTTTTGTTATTGCCATATTAGTTATATTTTTAGGTTCACAATTTATACAAAAGAGTGAACAGACTATAGTATATAATATATATAGGGGGCCCATGAGATGCCCCTGGTACCCCTTTTTCATAGGCTTTTTTGAGTTTGGACAAGGACAACGGGGCCCCATGATCCCCTATTGCCCGGGGGCCCCATGAGTTGTCAGTCCGCCCCTGCACACATATACACACACACACACACATGGAGATGTGTTCCTACCTGATGAATGGCATTATCTGATCTAGCATGAAAAAGTTTAAATGGAATGCTTCAGATTAATTTTTTGCAAGATTTGTATTTTTGGATTGTGTAATACATTTTTAAGTGCAGCAATCCCGCTTGGATATTTTTATATATTGCCTGTGAGACAGCCAGATTGCATTGCACTGGGAATTCACTGTTGAGCTTCTCGCCATGCCTGATTTGTGTGTGTATGTATATATGTAGCAGGAGAGATTAATCCTGTCTCATGGCTGTGATCTGCTGACTGGACTCTCCTGTGTAACCTGACACTTGCCCTGACACAGACAAAGCAGTGAGGGATTTCAGCCCCCCCTTTCTCCTCTCAGACTGTAAGAGAGAGAGAGCCAATTATGAGAGCCATTAAAGGAGCCAATGACAAGGACTCTTTCAAGCAGGAAGTGCAGCTGCAAAGCATTGTGGACGATGGAGTTTTGAACAGAAACAGCCTTATAGGCTAATATGGAGATAGAATAAAAATATAGAACTACGAAAGCCATCATGGTTAGGGAGATTAGAATGAAGGGGGCCATCTTGGGTTTCTCCTGAAGGAGAGGGGGACTGCATATGGCAGGAGAGAGATTGGACCTGGAAAAGAAGTGCTGATGGGCAGTGCACTGGATGCTTGGTGATCTGCATCAGACAAAGGAACATCCAAACTGAGAGAAGTGGTCTACAGTACAGTGCCTACACTGACAGTGTGAAGTGCTCATCGTGAGGTGACCAGAGGAACCTGTCATTTCCAGGACGATCGTTTGGGCCTTTGTCACAGGATCTGGTGAGAGGGATTTCTCCCACTGTCAGATGACAGGAACATTGCACACATACAGAGACATCACACCTTGCTCATATTCACCAGGCACTGGGTTGTGTAGATGGCCCTGCTGAACAGACACCATGTTCACTTTGCTATACAAATACTGCCACAGGATTACAATTACACTTTAAGTGTTTAAGGAGTTTAAGTGCACCAACGAAAGTGGCTAGCTGAAGATCCCAACATTCATCCAGTTACAAAGAGACTAAAGTTACTGGTGCCATACGAGCACGCGCATGCGTAGTCAGGCCTCTATATTGCATGGTGTGTGAGGGATTAGCTTTACCTTGAAAGTAGCTATTAAGCATCAGTTGGGTACAGTGTTTTCCTATTGGGGTCATGGTGTCGGGGTTTAGAAGGGAGAAGTCTGACACAACAGAGAGTCATTCTTCTGCTCTCCTTCTGCTTGGACATCATGGGGCCAAATTTATGAAGAGGAGTTAAATCCACTTTGAGGTTGCCAGTTAAGTGTTTGCCTCTGCTCTTGGGGTTATTCATGGTTGGAATCCACTGAAAGCAGCCCGAGTGTAAAAGTGAGTTATATTGCTTTCCGTCACAGTATTTGTTGTTCTCTTGATTCTCCTAACATATACTGGTTGTTAATGTTTATTACTTCCCATAGGTCTACAGTAAAGCTGATCTCTGTGTTTTATTATAAAGTGTGTGCTTTTCATTGGTCCTTGCACTTACACTATTGCCAGGTGTGCCAGTGTGGGCTGAGACAGTTCTTGGGGTTGAGAGGCAGAGTGGCGGAGTGAACAAACTTAAGCAGCCCCTTCGGGGGTATCGCTACATATATATATATATATATATATATATGTATATATATATATATACACAGGTGTACCTCGGTTTACGAATGACAGTCAATTGAAAATAATGCCTCGGTTTAAGCATTTTTTACAAATTGTTTTCACAATACGAAGTGTATGTCGGTGCCGATTTTTAAATGCAATTGCCGGCTTTTTTTTTCCTTCACTATAGCTCACAGAATTAGCTGTCACTTTCCCCGGAGCTAAAGGATACTTTGTTTCTTTTATCTCGGGAAACAAACTAAAAGGAAGCATTGTTTCTTTTAACTCGGGGAAATAAACTAAATTTTCTTTCTTCTAGCTGGAGGGAAAGTGACAGCTGATTCTCTGAGCTATAGTGAAGAACAAAAAATCTGGTAATTACATTTAAAAACCGGCACTGACTTATAGTGACAGCGATTTTTTTTAAAACTTTTTTTCTGACCTCCAGAACGGATTAATTGGTTTTGAATGCATTCCTATGGGAAACCGCGTTTTAGTTTACAAATTTTTTGCAATAAAAAATGTCGTAAACTGAGGTACACCTGTATATATATATATATATGTATTATTATTATACAGGATTTATATAGCGCCAACAGTTTGCTCAGCGCTTTACAATATAACGGGAGACAATACAACAACAATACCGTTCAATCCAAGAGGGATTTGAGGGCCCTGATCCTTGGAGCTTACAATCTAAGAGGGAGGGGCTAATGGTACAAAAGGTAGTAACTGTGGGGGATGGACTGGTTGGAAGAGTAGAAGATTCCAGTATTAGTTGAGAGCAGGATAGGCTTCCCTGAAGAGAGAGGTTTTCAGAGATCGCCTAAAAGTGAGCAGAGTAGGCAATAGTCTGATAAATTTGGGTAGAGAGTTCCAGAGGATGGGGGAAGCTCTGGAGATGTCCTGGAGACATGCATGGGAGGAGGAGAAAAGGGAGCTAGAGAGTAGGAGGTCATGCTAGGAGCGGAGAGTACGGTTTGGGTGATATTTGGAGACAAGATCGGTGATGTAATTTGGGGCGGAGTTATAAATGGCTTTATATGTTATTGTTAATGTTTTGAATTTTATCCGTTGGGCAATGGGAAGCCAGTGGAGGGATTGGCAGAGAGGGGTGGAGGACACTGAGTGGAGGCCAGTGGAGGGATTGGCAGAGAGGGGTGGAGGACACTGAGTGGAGGCCAGTGGAGGGATTGGCAGAGAGGGGTGGAGGGCACTGAGTGGAGGTCAGTGGAGGGATTGGCAGAGAGGGGTGGAGGGCACTGAGTGGAGGTCAGTAGAGGGATTGGCAGAGAGGGATGGAGGACACTGAATGGAGACCAGTGGAGGGATTGGCAGAGAGGGGTGGAGGGCACTGAGTGGAGGTCAGTGGAGGGATTGGCAGAGAGGGATGAAGGACACTGAGTGGAGGTCAGTGGAGGGATTGGCAGAGATTGGGGATGGAGGACACTGAATGGAGACCAGTGGAGGGATTGGCAGAAGGGGTGAAGGACACTGAGTGGAGGTCAGTGGAGGGATTGGCAGAGAGGGGTGGAGGGCACTGAGTGGAGGTCAGTAGAGGGATTAGCAGAGAGGGATGGAGGACACTGAGATGAGGTCAGTGGAGGGATTGGCAGAGAGGGGTGGCAGATACAGAACAGTTAGTAAGGTGGATGAGTCTGGCAGCAGCATTCATGATAGACTGAAGAGTAGTATAATATATACAGTAAGCACTCTCAGGACTTCTAGAGGAGAATAAAAGTAATCATGCTTCTGTGATTCACATCTTGCCTTTCTCAAGGTCTTTGCCAAAACATTGGTGAGTCAAACTACCACTACCAGTTGAGATTCTCCCTCTTTTACAATATTTGCAGTATCTATCTATCTATCTATCTATCTATCTATCTATCTATCTATCTATCTATCTATCTATCTCCCTATAACAGGGGTGTCAAACTGGCGGCCCTCCAAGCTGTTACAAAACTACAAGTCCCATCATTCATCTGCCTTTAGGAGTCATGCTTGTAACTGTCAATCTTGCAATGCCTCATGGGACTTGTAGTTTGGCAACAGCTGGAGGGCCGCCAGTTTGACACCTGTGATCTATGGTAGGCATATGTACTTTGTGAACTGACTTTGTATTTTTACAGTGCCCCCGAGCCTGAAGAAAGCTCAGATTCTTGAAACGCGTTGCCTTGTATTCTCTTTCTAAATTAACTTACAATCAACAACACTATATCTTCTGCATCCTTATTGTCAGGAAGGAGGTGCCCTTTGCATTTTTTCCTTCTCCTGTATCTCTTGCATGCAAAGTTTGGTGATAAATACTGGTGATATTTACCCTCACCTTCTGTTTTCCTGTTTTGCTTCTGCTTATGTTTGCAGTATGGATTCTGGGCATAGTGTGTGCCTTGTCTTTGGATCTATATGTTTTAATTCCTGTTTGTGTCTCCTCTCTACTTCCTTCCTGTCTAAGTCCCCGGTCAATCAGGTCCGACTTGTCATGCAATTTGATAGTTTCAAATCGCATGACAAATCATGCCCTATTGTCCCCAATGGAAGTGGGCATATCACAGAGTCGGAGTTGGAATTACACTGTTTTTGAAAGTACTTCATGCACTACTTTTTGCAAGTTCAGGTGCGATTTTTGCATGAAGTTGCACAGATGTCTTCTAAGTTGCACCTGAATTCGGATTGACATCTGACTTTGAAATAGTGTGAATTCAAGTAAAGTCACATGATTTCAAAGTTGGATTTGGTTTGGCCGAAGACTAAAGCTTCAATAAAACCCGGCACCAAATATTCAGCAAGGGAAGTTAGATTTGTATACTTGTCCTGGCACCAAATATTCAGCAAGTGAAGTTAGATTTGTATACTTGTCCCGGCACCAAATATTCAGCAAGGGAAGTTAGATTTGTATACTTGTCCCGGCACCAAATATTCAGCAAGTGAAGTTAGATTTGCATACTTGTCCCGGTACCAAATATTCAGCAAGTGAAGTTAGATTTGCATACTTGTCCTGGATCCATGACCCAGAAACTATTGAAGTCACTGAGCATGACAACCAAGCAACTAGCAAATTCAGGTGATAGGAATTGGCAGGTTTCGTATGATGAATGCGGTACCCTCCGGTGCCATCTGCTAGCTATTATATGGAACAGGCTTACTCAACCAGGGGTCCATGGCACCCTAGGGTTCCTCCAGAGGTTTCCAGGGGTTCCTTGAGCAATGAACAATTTCTGCCTCTCAGATAAGTTTCCCATTGACACCATTGATCTTTTTAGCTCTTTGTAAGGGGGTAATTCTTCTCAATGACCACAAGTGTAAGGAGCATTCTTCCCACTGACCATCACACGAATGTACCATGAGTTGTAGATATAGTCATGTTTAGCAGGGGTTCCCTGAGATTGGAAAGTTATTTTAAAGGTTGCCTTCCTCTGGATCAACTGTGGGTGTAGGATTATAACTTTTTTTTTTTGAATGGTTGAACTGGATGGACTTTTGTCTTTTTTCAGCCAGACTAACTATGTAACTATGTTGAAAAGATTGAGAAAGGCGGATATAGAAACATTTTGTTATACAGGTGTACAAAAAGTCAGAATCATGTGTGATATTGTGAAGGCTCCGGTCACCTGTGAACATAGGATGGCATAAATCTGTCACTACAAGGTAACTGGACAACAACCTGGGATTTTGTCACTGGATCTTCTTTGTCTGAAACATAAAACAGGAAATGTTTTTTATATATTCTTTGTTTTACCAATAAACATCTAAAGCTTAATTTGCCTACATTTTGCCTTCCCTGGTTTCCCCCTCCCCAGCAGACAGCAATACAAAACTGACAGAGGTTCTCACCCTCCACCCTACAGAGGTTATAACCCTACTCTATCCAAAGCAAAAAAAAAATAGTTTGGTCTTTAGGTACATTTTAAGCTGTGTGATACACAGATGTAGTAAGAAGCCATCTTCCATCCATCCACCAGAGCAGACCCCCATTGTTCGTGCACTGTATTGGGGACGTACCTGCTTGCAGAGGGGGAATTTTGATCACATTATAAGCAAAGGCAAAATGCTTCCCAAAACAGTTCCCGATGTTGTAGACCGTGCCGTCATTCTCGATGTGCGGATGTGCCGTCACCCCATTGATGGAGATGTAGTTGCAGAGATCTACCTGAAAGTCAGACAGGAAGCGACAAGGTTATCGATGACTAACCGCGGTGACTCACGCTGCAGAATTCGCCCGCGATTCAATGACATTTCCAGAGCCATCCACATATGCTTCCTTCTTCCATCATAAAATAGTCGTTTAAATTCACAGTCATGCTCCGGCTCACATTACTTTCCTAATTAGAGTGCAAACAAATAGCCCATAAACCTGGAAAAGGTTAAAACGAGTAAAGAGGAGGCTTAAAGGGAATGTAAGGTCTCTTCAATGATACTAAAGAGACCCTGTCACCACACGGTCACTTGTACATAATAGCTACCCATTATACTTGAGTTATGGTCTGAACCTGAATGTCAACTGTCATTGCTGAGCCAATGGCAGGAGGTTCCTCATCCCTGGTGTGGGCTGGGATGCTCGTGACATCAATGACCCAATGACATTGGCCTAATAGAGTCATGTGCCCATATTAGATCAATGATGTCATAAGCATCCCCACCCATACAAGGGGCAGTGATTCTTCTGCCCGCAGCTCATTGGTCCACCTAATTCCTGTCTGAGCCCAAAAGTTAGCTTTTATTGCTGGGCCAATGAGCTGCTGGTGGGAGATTCCCAGACCCCAGCACAGATGGATGCTCATGACTTTATTGACCTAATCTGACCACATGGCCACATTAGGTCAATGATATCATGAGCATCCTCACTTGGCCTAATAAGGTCACGTGTCCATATTAGATCAATGGTGTCATGAGTATCTCCACTCATGCAAGGGGGCAGGGATCTCCTGCCCGAAGCTCATTGGCCCAGCTATCTTCCTGTTTGAACCCAAAAGTTAGCTTTTGTTACTGGGCCAATGAGCTGCAGGTGGAAGATTCCCTGATGATGTCACAAGCAGCCCATGCAGTTCATTGCTCCAGCAACTTACTGGTTTGGACCCGAAGTTAATTGGGTCAATGAGCTGCGAGTGGGAAATTACCTGCATGGGCTAGGATGCCATCATTGACCTAATATGGCCATGTGGTCAAACTAGATCAATGATGTCATGAGCATCCCTGACCATGCAATGGGGAAGGGAATCTCCTGCCTACAGTTCATTGGTTCTGCCAACTTCCTGTCTGAACCCAAAATTTGGCTTTTATTGCTGGGCCTATGAGCTGCAGGTGGGAGATTCCCTGACCCCAGCACAGGCAGGGATGCTTACAACATCATTGACCTAATATGACCACATGGCCATATAAGGTCAATGATGACGAGCATCCCCACCCATGCAGGGAATCTCCTGCCTGCAGATCATTGTTCCAGCTAACCCAAGGTCCGAACCCATAGGTTGCTGGGCCAATGAGCTGTTAGAAGGAGATTCCCCACCCCTCTGCATGGGCAGGCCTGCTTGTGACATCATTGATAATATGGTCACATGGCAATGGCATGTACTTAATAATGTTATGTGCCTATATTAGGTCAATGATGTGATAAGCATCCCCACTCATTCAGGGGGGCAAGGAATCTCCCACCTTCAGCTCATAGGCTCGCTCATTTCCAGTCATTATAGAGCCAATGAGCTGCAGGAGGGAGATTCCCTGCTCCCCTGCAGGGGTGGGGATGCACATGACATCATTAATCTAACATGGCTACATGAGGTCAGTGAGCCTATATTAGCTCAATGATATCATGAGCATCCCCACTCATTCAGGGGGCAGGGATTTTCTCACCCAGAGCTTATTGGCCTAGCTAACTTCTGGTCCAAACCAAGGTTAAAAGTCATAGCAGGGCTAATGAGCTGTGGGAGGGAGTATCCTCACCCTCCTGCAGGTGTGCGAATCCTTATGACATCATTGATCTAATATGACCACATGGCCATATCACGTCAATAATGTCACAAGCATCCCACCCATTCGGGGGGCAGGGAATCTCCCACCTGCAGCTCGTTGGCTCAAAAAATTGTAGTTGCCAATGCAGAGCCAATGAGCTGCAGGAGGGAGATTTCCTACTCCCCGAATGGGTGGGGATGCTCATGACATCATTACCCTAAAATGGACACATGGCCATATTAGGTCATTGACCTGCGGTGAGAAATTTACTGCCCCCCTGCATGACGTTGGTCAATATGTCCACGTGCCATAATAGGTCCATAATGTCACGGACATCTCTGCCCCTACATGTGAATCAGCTCATTTTCCCAGCAATGACCACTAATATCTGGGTTCAGACTAACCCAGTTTTGGACCAAACCCAAGCTCATCACTACTTTAAAGACAGCTGTTTTGCCTTTTCCCCACTGCTCTAGGTTATCCACACTGTCCCTGCTGCACACTTTGGGTCCTGTAAAAGAAGGAACACTATAGGAACCTTATCTGTGGCCTGTGTGTTGACTTCCCTTATCTCGAGCCTTTGCAAATATTCAACCTTTTAAATGTGCTGAATACCTGCTCCCCCCTGCTGAATGCTGTGGTTCCTCCCACTGGCTCATACTCCTTGTAGTAATGTAGAAGCTGGCGAAAGGAACCACAGTGAGCAGCAGGGGGAGCAAGTATTCAACACTCCCGAACACCGGAACACCTGCAGCGACTGGAGAGTAGCAAAGCAGCTGCATTTCAACACGACAGAAGTGTGGAGTGCTCAATCTACCGCCAACATCCCCTATTAATGCATCCAAAACCTCTATATTTTTTTCCTTGGAACTTTTTAGGTAATATCCCATATGTTCAAAAAATATATTTGAAATATATTTTAAAAATATGCTTCCCAAATATATTGACATATATTTTAAAAATATATATTTTTAAAATATATTCTACAGATTTTTTTAACAAATAAAAAAGTCATTTTAACATATATTTTTACATATATTTGTAAATGCATTCCAAAAATGTAGATTTGTATTTTTAAAGACACAGTATATTTGAAATGTTTTTTTTAAAAATATTTTTCCATATATTTTGTAATAAAAACGCATATATATATATATACAGTCAGGTCCATAAATATTGGGACATGGACACAATTCTAACATTTTTGGCTCTATACCCCACCACAATGGATTTGAAATGAAATGAACAAGATGTGCTTTAACTGCAGACTGTCAGCTTTAATTTGAGGGTATTTACATCCAAAATCAGGTGAATGGTGTAGGAATTACAACAGTTTGCATATGTGCCTCCCACTTTTTAAGGGACCAAAAGTAATGGGACAGAATATTAATCATAAATCAAACTCTCACTTTTTAATACTTGGTTGCAAATCCTTTGCAGTCAATTACAGCCTGAAGTCTGGAACACATAGACATCACCAGACGTTGGGTTTCATCCCTGGTGATGCTCTGCCAGGCCTCTACTGCAACTGTCTTCAGTTCCTGCTTGTTCTTGGGGCATTTCCCCTTCAGTTTTGTCTTCAGCAAGTGAAATGCATGCTCAATCGGATTCAGGTCAGGTGATTGACTTGGCCATTGCATAACATTCCACTTCTTTCCCTTAAAAAACTCTTTGGTTGCTTTTGCAGTATGCTTTGGGTCATTGTCCATCTGCACTGTGAAGCGGAGTCCAATGAGTTCTGAAGCATTTGGCTGAATATGAGCAGATAATATTGCCCGAAACACTTCAAAATTCATCCTGCTGCTTTTGTCAGCAGTCACATCATCAATAAATACAAGAGAACCAGTTCCATTGGCAGCCATACATGCCCACGCCATGACACTACCACCACCATGCTTCATTGATGAGGTGGTATGCTTAGGATCATGAGCAGTTCCTTTCCTTCTCCATACTCTTCTCTTCCCATCACTCTGGTACAAGTTGATCTCGGTCTCATCTGTCCATAGGATGTTGTTCCAGAACTGTGAAGGCTTTTTTAGATGTCGTTTGGCAAACTCTAATCTGGCCTTCCTGTTTTTGAGGCTCACCAATGGTTTACATCTTGCGGTGAACCCTCTGTATTCACTCTGGTGAAGTCTTCTCTTGATTGTTGACTTTGACACACATACACCTACCTCCTGGAGAGTGTTCTTGATCTGGCCAACTGTTGTGAAGGGTGTTTTCTTTACCAGGGAAAGAATTTTTCGGTCATCCACCACAGTTGTTTTGTGTGGTCTTCCGGGTCTTTTGCTGTTGCTGAGCTCACCGGTGCGTTCCTTCTTTATAAGAATGTTCCAAACAGTTGTTTTGGCCACGCCTAATATTTTTGCTATCTCTCTGATGGGTTTGTTTTGTTTTTTCAGCCTAATGATGGCTTGCTTCACTGATAGTGACAGCTCTTTGGATCTCATCTTGAGAGTTGACAGCAACAGATTCCAAATACAAATAGCACACTTGGAATAAACTCTGGACCTTTTATCTGCTCACTGTAATTGGGATAATGAGGGAATAACACACACCTGGCCATGGAACAGCTGAGAAGCCAATTGTCCCATTATTTTTGGTCCCTTAACAAGTGGGAGGCACATATGCAAACTATTGTAATTCCTACACCGTTCACCTGATTTGGATGTAAATACCCTCAAATTAAAGCTGACAGTCTGCAGTTAAAGCACATCTTGTTTGTTTCATTTCAAATCCATTGTGGTGGTGTATAGAGCTAAAAATGTTAAAATTGTGTCGATGTCCCAATATTTATGGACCTGACTGTATATATATATATATATATATATATATATATATATATATATATATATATATATATTGAATATGGACAAAATTGTAGCATTTCAAATCAATGGCAATATATTTGGGAAGAGTTTTTTAAAATATATTTCAAATATATTTTTCTTCCATGTGGGAATACACAACTTAAAAAATTATAAAATTACAAAACAGCTGACATTTCTTCACATATACAGTACAATGTGATATTCATTACAGGATACCCAGTTGTCCATGCCTAAATACTATTTAATTTCCATGATCAGGGGTGGACTGACAACTCATGGGGCCCCCGGGCAATAGGAAATCATGGGGCCCCTGTGTCCTCTCCCACACTCTAACCATACCCATAAAAGCCTATTCAAGGTACCAGGGGCATCTCACGGAGCCCCCTACTGACCCCGGTCCCTCCGGCAGTGCCCGAGTGCCTAAATGGTCAGTCCGCCCCTGTCCATGATGTTAGACTTTGTCTGCATCGATGTTAAACCAGGAAAAACCCGACACGTTTCGGAGAATTCCTTCCTCAGGGGAGAAAGGTATACCATATCTACAATGGAATTAAAATATTAAGTACAAAAATGTTTATGCAATGAATCACCATATCATTGGGGGGGTTCCATACCATACTTACCAAGAACAAAATAACCAGCTGTACATTAAAACCAAAACAAAATCAAGGTTGCCATACTTCCATCCCTCAACTGTGGCCCAAAATATAATGTAAATAGGTTCTGGACTCCACAATTTAGATTTATTTATCAAATGTTTTGTACTTAACAGTTTAACTGTAATATATATATATATAAAATAAACTTCAATGGTCCCAAAAAGTGTTGCGTTTACCATTTATTTTTTATCCAATAGCAAAGTATTGACGGCACTTTGATGAGACTTTGATGCTACTTGAGTGCCAGAGTGTAAAGTCGCATCAAAGTTGTACGCATCCAAAGTCACATCAAAATGGCATCAAAGTCAATACTTTCCTATTGCCAAAATAACTGCATCAAAAACGCATGTTCAAAAATGCAAGTTCAAAAACACACTGTGAAATCACACAATTTACAGTCTTGATAGATGTGAACCTAGCCTTATCGCGGTGGGGGGAAAGCAGCAGCAGGGGGAGAGAAGCCGCATGTAAGAGATATGTCATAAGAACTGATTTTTTTATGACCTACAGGATCTCTTATGTTCGAAAATCCTCATATTGTTAAAGTGTATAAAGAGCAAAAAAATTTTTTTTTTTTTTTTGGAATGGAGTGGGTATTATTGTTTTCATCTTTGTTCCTTTTGGGAGAGTTTCCTTTACTTCCTGTCTTGTAGACATAGCAGGAATTAGGCTCCATGCACATGGGGCATTTTGATAACGCTGGTAATGTTAGCTGTGTAAAGTCACGTTAAAAACAGGAGTTTTTCAGCTTTTTTTTTTAGCGTTTTTGCATTAGCGTTTAGCTGCATTTTTCTGCGTTTGGTCAAAAAAATCCAAAAACACTGGTTTGCGGTGTTTTTACCGTTTTTTACAGCTAAAAAACTCTTCTAGAAATCCACTAGTCCTGGGTTTTCTTTTTCCAACCAAAAAACGTCCTAGGCAAAAAACATTGATTACAATCTATGTGTGTATGGACACATAGGATAACATGCCAGGGATGGACACATAGGATAACATGCCGGGGATGGACACATAGGATAACATGCCAGGGATGGACACACAGGATAACATGCCGGGGATGGACACATAGGATAACATGCCAGGGATGGACACATAGGATAACATGCCAGGGATGGACACGTAGGATAATATGCCGGGGATGGACACATAGGATAACACGCCGGGGATGGACACGTAGGATAACACGCCGGTGATGGACACATAGAATAACACGCCGGGGATGGACACATAGGATAACATGCCGGGGATGGACACATAGGATAACATGCCGGGGATGGACACACAGGAGAACACGCCGGGGATGGATACACAGGATAACACGCCGGGGATGGAAACACAGGATAACACGCCGGGGATGGACACATAGGATAACATGCCGGGGATGGACACATAGGATAACATGCCGGGGATGGACACATAGGATAACATGCCGGGGATGGACACATAGGATAACATGCCGGGGATGGACACACAGGATAACATGCCGGGGATGGACACATAGGATAACATGCCGGGGATGGACACATAGGATAACACGCCGGGGATGGACACATAGGATAACACGCCGGGGATGGACACATAGGATAACATGCCGGGGATGGACACATAGGATAACATGCCAAGGATGGACACATAGGATAACACGCCGGGGATGGACACATAGGATAACACGCCGGGGATGGGACACATAGGATAACATGCCGGGGATGGACACATAGGATAACATGCCGGGGATGGACACACAGGATAACATGCTGGGGATGGACACACAGGATAACATGCTGGGGATGGACACACCTAGGATAACATGCCGGGGATGGACACATAGGATAACATGCTGGGGATGGACACATAGGATAACATGTTGGGGATGGACACGTAGGATAACATGCCGGGGATGGACACACAGGATAACATGCCTGGGATGGACACATAGGATAACATGCCGGGGATGGACACATAGGATAACATGCCGGGGATGGACACATAGGATAACATGCTGGGGATGGACACACAGGATAACATGCTGGGGATGGACACATAGGATAACATGCAGGGGATGGACACGTAGGATAACATGCCTGGGATGGACACATAGGATAACATGCCGGGGATGGACACACAGGATAACATGCCGGGGATGGACACATAGGATAACATGCGGGGGATGGACACATAGGATAACATGCGGGGGATGGACACATAGGATAACATGCCGGGGATGGACACATAGGATAACATGCCGGGGATGGACACATAGGATAACATGCTGGGGATGGACACATAGGATAACACGCCGGGGATGGACACATAGGATAAAACACGCCGGGGATGGACACACAGGATAACATGCTGGAGATGGACACATAGGATAACATGCGGGGGGTTTACTGGCTGCAGAAAAAAAACGTCAAAAGACAAAAACAGTCGCTGTGAAAACGTTCATTGTGCATGAGGACTAAAGGGAAAATTTCTCCAAAGTGATTGAAATCTGCTCTTGGACAGTTGTCATCAGCTCAGGTGTCCCCCTTATTTCTTTTCTGTTGGCAACTCAGATTTTTGAATTTTCCCGCACTTTCAGTTCAGGTTCAGCTCATTGAGACGAACAGGGTGTGGTTGTCAGATTTTCACTGACATTCGGCCATATAATGTATGTAAACTGATAGGTCTTACATATATACAGTATCTAAATATCTATGTGTGTGTGTATATATTATATATATATTTTTATATATATATATATATATATATATATATATATATACCGGTAGGTTTTTTTAAAAAATAAAAGTACCTTTTTAATGGTCTCTAGTGTTTCTGGATCAACCTTTGTGATATAATTGGTTTCTGTGCAGGCGTAAAAGTCCTCCCCTACGGGGTAGATGTTGACCAGGGCATTGTCCGTCACCTCTATCCCTTTAAAGTAAGAGAAAAACCTGCAAGACAACACAGAAGTCACTCGCTGTCCACAGTCTGGATGAAAACCTCTGGTTTGCATTAAATAGTCAATATTGAATTAAATATTATATACAATTATATATATATAATATGTTATACATAGTTACATAGTTAGTCTGGCTGAAAAAAAGGCAAAAGTCCATCCAGTTCAACTATTAAAAAAAAAAAAGTTATAATTCTACACCCACAGCTGATCCAGAGGAAGGCAAAAAAAAAAAAACAACAGCAAAGCATGATCCAATTTGCTCCTGCAGGGGAAATTGGATATTCCCTGGATCAACTTTACCTATAAATGTTAGTATCCCGTTATATTCTGTGTATCTAAGAAAGAATCCAGGACTTTTTTTGAAGCAATCCACTGAGCTGGCCACAACCAACTCTTGAGGAAGTCTATTCCACATTTTCACAGCTCTCACTGTGAAGAAACCTTTCCATGTTTGGAGATTAAATTTCTTTTCCCCCAGATGTAAAAAGCGCCCTCTTGTTCCCTCTGTGATGACCTCAGGGGGAAGAACTCTACACCGAGTTCACTATATGAACCACTGATGTATTTATACATGGAGATCATATCCCCCCCTTTATGTATTATACATGGAGATCATATCCCCCCTTATGTATTATACATGGAGATCATATCCCCCCTTATGTATTATACATGGAGATCATATCCCCCCTTATGTATTATACATGGAGATCATATCCCCCCTTATGTATTATACATGGAGATCATATCCCCCCTTATGTATTATACATGGAGATCATATCCCCCCTTATGTATTATACACGGTGATCATATCCCCCCTTATGTATTATACATGGAGATTATATCCCCCCTTATGTATTATACATGGAGATCATATCCCCCTTATGTATTATACATGGAGATCATATCCCCCCCCTTATGTATTATACATGGAGATCATATCCCCCTTATGTATTATACATGGAGATCATATCCCCCTTATGTATTATACATGGAGAGATCATATCCCCCCTTATGTATTATACATGGAGATCATATCCCTCCTTATGTATTATACATGGAGATCATATCCCTCCTTATGTATTATACATGGAGATCATATCCCCCTTATGTATTATACATGGAGATCATATCCCCCCTTATGTATTATACATGGTGATCATATCCCCCCTTATGTATTATACATGGAGATCATATCCCCCCTTATGTATTATACATGGTGATCATATCCCCCTTACATATTATACATGGAGATCATATTCCCCCTTATGTATTATACATGGAGATCATATCCCCCCTTATGTATTATACATGGTGATCATATCCCCCTTACATATTATACATGGAGATCATATCCCCCCTTATGTATTATACATGGTGATCATATCCCCCTTACATATTATACATGGAGTTCATATCCCCCTTATGTATTATACATGGAGATCATATCCCCCCCTCTATGTATTATACATGGAGATCATATCCCCCCTTATGTATTATACATGGAGATCATATCCCCCCTTATGTATTATACATGGAGATCATATCCCCCCTTATGTATTATACATGGAGATCATATCCCCCTTATGTATTATACATGGAGATCATACCCCCCCCCTTATGTATTATACATGGTGATCATATCCCCCCTTATGTATTATACATGGAGATCATATCCCCCCTTATGTATTATACATGGAGATCATATCCCCCCTTATGTATTATACATGGAGATCATATCCCCCCCTCTATGTATTATATATGGAGATCATATCCCCCCTTATGTATTATACATGGAGATCATATCCCCCCTTATGTATAATACATGGAGATCACATCCCACCTTATGTATTATAAATGGAGATCATATCCCCCCTTATGTATTATACATGGAGATCACATCCCCCTTATGTATTATACATGGAGATCATATCCCCCCTTTTGTATTATACATGGAGATCATATCCCCCCTTATGTATTATACATGGAGATCATATCCCCCCCTCTATGTATTATATATGGAGATCATATCCCCCCTTATGTATTATACATGGTGATCATACCCCCTTATGTATTATACATGGAGATCATATCCCCCCTTATGTATTATACATGGTGATCATACCCCCTTATGTATTATACATGGAGATCATATCCCCCCCCTTATGTATTATACATGGAGATCATATCCCCCCTTATGTATTATACATGGAGATCATATCCCCCCTTATGTATTATACATGGAGATCATATCCCCCCTTATGTATTATACATGGAGATCATACCCCCCCTTATGTATTATACATGGTGATCATACCCCCCTTATGTATAATACATGGAGATCATATCCCACCTTATGTATTATACATGGAGATCACATCCCCCCTTATGTATTATACATGGAGATCATATCCCCCCTTATGTATTATACATGGAGATCATATCCCCCCTTATGTATTATACATGGAGATCATATCCCCCTTATGTATTATACATGGAGATCATATCCCCCCTTATGTATTATACATGGAGATCATATCCCCCCTTATGTATTATACACGGTGATCATATCCCCCCTTATGTATTATACATGGAGATCATATCCCCCTTATGTTATATACATGGAAATCATACCCCCCCTTATGTATTATACATGGTGATCATATCCCCCCTTATGTATTATACATGGAGATCATATCCCCCCTTATGTATTATACATGGAGATCATATCCCCCCTTATGTATTATACATGGAGATCATATCCCCCCTTATGTATTATACACGGTGATCATATCCCCCCTTATGTATTATACATGGAGATCATATCCCCCTTATGTTATATACATGGAGATCATATCCCCCCTTATGTATTATACATGGAGATCATATCCCCCCTTATGTATTATACATGGAGATCATATCCCCCCTTATGTATTATACATGGAGATCATATCCCCCCTTATGTATTTATACATGGAGATCATATCCCCCTTATCTATTATACATGGAGATCATATCCCCCCTTATGTATTATACATGGAGATCATGTCCCCCCTTATGTATTTATACATGGAGATCATATCCCCCCTTATGTATTATACATGGAGATCATATCCCCCCTTATGTATTATACACGGTGATCATATCCCCCCTTATGTACTATACATGGAGATCATATCCCCCTTATGTTATATACATGGAGATCATACCCCCCCTTATGTATTATACATGGTGATCATATCCCCCCTTATGTATTATACATGGAGATCATATCCCCCCTTATGTATTATACATGGAGATCATATCCCCCTTATCTATTATACATGGAGATCATATCCCCCTTATGTATTATACATGGTGATCATATCCCCCTTATGTATTATACATGGAGGTCATATCCCCCTTATGTATCATACATGGTGATCATATCCCCCCTTATGTATCATACATGGAGATCATATCCCCCTGTATGTATTATAAATGGAGATCATATCCCCCCTTATGTATTATACATGGAGATCATATCCCCCCTTATGTATTATATATGGGGATCATATCCCCCCTTATGTATTATACATGGAGATCATATCCCCCCCTTATGTATTATACATGGAGGTCATATCCCCCCCTTATGTATTATACATGGTGATCATATCCCCCCTTATGTATTATACATGGTGATCATATCCCCCCTTATGTATTATACATGGAGATCATATCCCCCCTTATGTATTATACATGGAGATCATATCCCCCTTATGTATTATACATGGAGATCATATCCCCCCTTATGTATTTATACATGGAGATCATATTCCCCCTTATGTATTATACATGGAGATCATATTCCCCCTTATATATTATACATGGAGATCATATCCCCCCTTATGTATTATACATGGTGATCATATCCCCCCTTATGTATTATACATGGAGATCATATCCCCCCTTATGTATTATACATGGAGATCATATCCCCCTTATGTATTATACATGGAGATCATATCCCCCCTTATGTATTTATACATGGAGATCATATTCCCCCTTATGTATTATACATGGAGATCATATCCCCCCTTATGTATTATACATGGAGATCATATCCCCCCCTTATGTATTATACATGGAGATCATATCCCCCCTTATGTATTATACATGGAGATCATATCCCCCCTTATGTATTATACATGGAGATCATATCCCCCCTCATGTATTATATATGGTGATCATATCCCCCTTATGTATTATACATGGAGATCATATCCCCCCTTATGTATTATACATGGAGATCATATCCCCCTTATGTATTATACATGGAGATCATATCCCCCTTATGTATTATACATGGAGATCATATCCCCCCTCAATCTCCTCTTTTCAAGAGAGAATAAATTCAGTTCCTCTAATTTTTCCTCATAGCTGAGCTCCTCCATGCCTCTTATCAGTTTGGTTGCCCTTCTCTGTACTTTCTCCAGTTCCCCAATGTTCTTTTTGTGTATTGGAGCCCAAAACTGAACTGCATATTCCAGATGAGGTGTCACTAATGATTTGTACCGGGGGAAATGATATCTCTCTCTCTGGAGTCTATACCTCTTTTAATACAAGAGAGGATTTTGCTCGCTTTAGAACCCGCAACTTGGCATTGCATGCCATGTATTAAGCTTGTGATCTACCAGAACCCTTAGATCCTTCTCCACCATTGACCCCCCCAAATCCTTCTCCACCATTGATTCCCCCCCCCAGATCCTTCTCCACCATTGACCCCCCACCCCAGGTCCTTCTCCACCATTGACCCCCCCCAGATGCTTCTCCACCATTGACCCCCCCCCCAGATGCTACTCCACCATTGACCCCCCCAGATCCTTCTCCACCATATAACATTATATTGAAATAGATGATAAAATTGAATCGTCAATGATCGGACATTATCTACCTCACTTACCTGGAAAAGATGTTTTTGCAGGGATCGGGGTAAGCAAACGTTCCAAACTCGGTGATGACAATTCTTTTCTCAGTCATGGCCCGGACATATGCATCAGTCTTTACAAATCTGCAAAATAACATTATAGCATTATTGAAGCGTATATATAATATTTAAAATAGAACTAAAGTTAAAACTTTTTTTTTTCATTTTTGGATCAAGGAAGGGAGGGTTATAGCTGAAAGGCAATGTAGTCACCTTTATGCATGCGCTCCAGTACTGCAATTTAGCTCGCTGTGCCGACACTCCCTGCGCCAACATGCACAGGACATTTGGAAGCCCAAGAATTGCTTACTCCTCAGCTCCTCCTCCAGACATTGATTGTCATGTGAAAGAGCAAATGTGAAATTATGTGTGAAACTGGGCAAATCGCTGGATCTCTGCAATGTTGTCAAAATGGCAACCTTTGAGCTGGATCTTTGGGAAGAAGGCATTTTCAGGGGTTGAGCTTGTTTTCTTCCAGTGATGTTCTTCCGCACTTGAAGCGCACGTGCCACTCGAAACACCCTCGAATGACCTGTAAACTTGCTCAATCATGTCATACATCTCTGTGGCAGGTTTGCCCAGTTTCATGCAGAATTTCACATTTGCTCTTTGTTCTAACTTGCTGTCCATGATGAAATAGCAGATGTGGTCAGAACAGCACCAGTTGCACAGCTCCCGATGTACACAGGACAATGTCTTTTGGCACACTGACTTATGAAGGTTGGTGCTCCTTGCGACTGTGCGTGCAGCTTCGTGCTGCCATCTGTTGACGTGTTACAAAACTAGTCTCGAAACTTTCTGATACCACATCATACGGTGGACATTATTTATATTAATGTAGAAAAATGAAGAGGACTAAATTTACCATTGGAAAGGATTTTTTATATCTGTTCAACAAGTGAAAAAAAATCCTCTTGATCCTGCAGTCTATCGGTCTTGTATTGTTCCAGGTCCCCTCAGTGAATCAAAAGTGGATTTATATACTTTTTTGGCTACTGAGGAATATATATAAAGAAAATTTTTTGCCTGGAGTTCAGCTTTAAGAGTCAAAGCGCCACAATGGAGGCAGAGGTCCTTGTTTCAGGTCATGAGGTCAATTTTGAAGCATTGTACCGGCCAAAGCGGAAAATGAGAAGCCTAAGAAGCTTTTATTGCATTTTACAGATCGCCGAAAATCCTTTTCATTGTTTTCATTGCAGCTGCGATTTTTCCAGAATAAAAGATCGGCAGGTTCAACAATGATTGAAAATGACTGGAAATGTAGAGCTTGGAGGCCACCCGGGGCAGGCTGTACTCAGAGATGGCATGAAGCCGGCAATTTTACAGCAAAGGATACTGGGTAAACCAAAGCGCGGCGATACAATGACACGTGTGTGATGTCCGGCACACAGCGGGGTCGGCGGGCTGCTCTGCTCTCTGTGCCAGAGAACTTTCAGATGAAGTTGAAAATTATTACGGGCTGCGAAAATAACAAAGCGCTATGAATGCCATCCTGTTCAGATAAAGAACCGAAACATTAAACTGCCAACTCACTGGGGATACAATGTAATAACTTGTCCCATTTACAGGATAAGTACACTTCTCTAATCTATCTATTCAGTCGTATCCGACCCTTGGTGATTGCACGGACCGTCACTCGTAAGCGACTTTTTCCATGAATTCTCTTAACAATTATTTTACAGGGTAGGTTGCCAGGTCTTTCCCCAACCCCCACCATGCAGGAGATCCCACATGGCCAGGGATGAAACTAGGACAATTTAGACAGGAACCAATTAACCTACCAGCATGTCTTTGGAGTGTGGGAGGAAACCGGAGTACCTGGAAAAAACCCACGTGAACACAGGGAGAATATGCAAACTCCATGCGGGAGGCGCTGTAGTCGGGAATCGGACCCATGACCCAATTACTGCACGGCAGACGTGCTAACCACTAAGCCACTGTGCCACCCACTTCTCTAATAAAAAGCGCAATATGCTTTCCTCGCATTAGCGTTCAAAACTTTTTCTTTAGTGGTCCCATTGCAGGGATCTCCCTTGTGTCACTAGTACAAGAAGTGAGAATATTATCACAATGGGGACACAGGCAGCAATACAAACCTGGCTGATATTTTAAGACCCCTCCCTTAAGCCACTCACCAAGGGTGATCAAAAGTTTAGACCAGACATCTCTAAAATTTTTAAACAAAGGACCAGTTGACTGTCCTTAAGGCTTTAGGGGGGCCGAACTGTGGCCAGTGTGAGTAGAAAATGTCCCAGCATCAGTGGGAGTAAACAATGCCCCACCATTGGTTTAAACAGGAGGAATAGTGCACTGTTGTTGGCTTTAGAAGGATGAATAGTGACCCATGGTTGGTATCAATTGGAGGCATTGTGCCCCACCGATGGTGTCAGTGAGAGAAATAGTGCCCTATCATTGGTCTTAGCAGGAAGAATAGTGCCCCATCAATGGTATCAATTGGAGGCATAGTGTCCCACCGCTGGTGTCAGTGAGAGAAATAGTGCCCTATCATTGGTCTTAGCAGGAAGAATAGTGGCCCATCAATGGTATCAATTGGAGGCATAGTGCCCCACCACTGGTGTCAGTGAAAAAAATAGTGCCCCATCATTGGTCTTAGCAGAAAGAATATTGCCCCATCGATGGTATCAATTGGAGGCATGGTGACCCAATGATGGTGTCAGTGAGAGAAATAGTGCCCCATCATTGGTCTTAGCAAGAAGAATAGTGCCCCATCGATGGTATCAATTGGAGGCATAGTGCCCCACCACTGGTGTCAGTGAAAAAAATAGTGCCCCATCATTGGTCTTAGCAGGAAGAATAGTGCCCCATCGATGGTACCAGTGGGAAGAAGAGTATTCCATTAATGGTGAAAGTGGGAAGAATGGTGCCTCATCATTGGTGTCAGTTGTAACAATAGTGTCCCAAGGGGTGGATAGAGGCAAGCAAAGGGCCACATCTGGCCCCCGGGCTGCAGTTTGGAGACCACTGGTGTAGACAATCCCTGAACGACCATTTAAAGCTGAACTCAAGGAATGAAAAAAAAATATTTACAAACAATATATTCCCACAAAGTCAAAAAGGACCCACCCACTACAGGCTGTCTGCAGAAAATTAGAAGATGGGGCGGGGACAAGGAAATGTAACACCCGCCTAGAGTAGTATAGCCTGTTAGGTAAATTTAGTTTAGCTCCTCTCTGATCAGTGAAGCAGGGGTTGATTGCTCGGTGCCTCACAGGCTGCTGTGCTGGTTGCTTCCCCCTGTATTCTAGAGGATTATAGAAATTTAGTGAGAGGGAGGGCATGCAACCTGAATATTTATGGGACTTTAGCCAATCCCTGGGGAGGTGTGCCCAGTAGGCGGTTGGAGAGCCTATAAATAGTTTAGGGCAGTGGTCTCTAAACTGTGGCTCATGGGGCTGGATGTGGCCCTTTGCTTGCTTTTATCGGCCTCTGGAGTATTATTTTCTACCACTGACATCAACAATGGGGCATAATTCCTGTCACTGATACCAACCATAAGGCACTATTCCTACCAATGACTCCAACAATGGGACACTATTCCTCCCACTGATACCAACAGCAGGGCACTTTTCTTCCCACTGACATCAATGATGGGGCACTATAACTTTCCCTGGTACCAATAATGGGGCACTATTCCTTCCACTGACATCGGCAATGAGGCATAATTCCTGCCACTGATACCAACAATGGGGCACTATTACTACCACTGACCCCAACAATGGAGTACTATTCTTCTCACTGACACCAATGATGGGGCACTATTCCTACCACTGACCACAACAGTGTGCACCATTCTTACCATTGACACCAACGATGGAGCACTATTCCTTCTTCTGATACCAACCATGGGGCGTTGTTTACTTCCCTTGATGTCAGGGCATTTTCTACTCTCATTGGCCATAGTCCAGACCCATCAAAGTCTTAAGGACAGTAAACATGTTCCTGGCTTAAGGACAGTAAACCTGAGGTCCCAGCCTTAGCTGGGGGGGGGAAGCTATCTGCAAATGTAGTCCTGGAATCAGTTCGGGTCTAAAGAAGCTCACTGGAGAGTGTCTGGTGGATATCAGAAGCATGCAACCAATAATCCTGTGGCTGTGTGATTAGATGACCCAAGGGCTGGAAAGTTAGTGACTGTGAGTAGCTTTTGATCTTTTGGGAGAAGTCATAGTCTCCAGTCAGCTCTAGAAATTCTGTGAGACATTTTTGCGAAGCTCAGCAAGCTAGAGTCCTCAAAGTGTTCCGTTCATTAGTTTTAGGGTATCCCAGGTTCCCTTCACCCCACCCAAAATCATTGTTATAATAAAACCCAAAAAAGACTGTGTGAGCTTTATTTGGGGGAAAGAAAATATGTTCACCAGTGGCTTTATAGTGGGTGCGCTACAACAAGGAGAGATCAGCAGAGAGCGGTCTTTATTACAGGAAGCTCCTGCACAGAGGGAAAGTCTCACACTGGATTACTGCACAGATCTACTGCACCAAGATTCAAGAAGAATACACATCACTCTTGTATTCAGACAACATTGTATTAATAACCACCATGTGAAAGTAGATGCAGCAGCTATCTCATATCTCAAAGATCTTATCAAGCCATATACTTCAGACAGGGGCGGACTGACAACTCATGGGGCCCCCAGCAATAGGGGATCATGGGGCCCCTGTGTCCTCGCCCACACTCAAATCACACCCAAAAAAGCCTATGAAAAGGTACCAGGGACATCTCATGGGGCCCCCTACTGACCCCGGGCCCTCGGGCAGTGCCCGAGTTCCCCAATGCTCAGTCCGCCCCTGACTTCAGACAGCGCTTGTAACTAATTAACAATATGTGAAAGCAATATGCAACATAAATGTGCTAATTAGAAAAGAATTCCTCTTCTTTTTCTCACCCTCTAAAATTATGGACAGTCTTGAGGCACCCCATTTTAAAATGTAAAAAAACTATTCTAATAGTTTTATATAATGCAGCATTCACACATGTAGGACACCCAACATTAGAGGTGATTTATTCTTTCATATTAAATACACGTTTGCATACTGGTACTGACTAGTATTCCTGTGTTTCTCTTCTCCCTCAGTTTTTTTCCATCACTGAACTAATGTGACTCCAGCACTGACAGGGAGGGGCAGGCGAGGGTCAAACAAAGATGATGTGCAGGCAACCAACATCCTCCTCATCAACTGATGATGTCATTGGTTGTCAGGATGTTGGTGGCTAGAAGGACGTAATGGTGCATATTAAAGACACGTGGCTCTGTGCAACTAAAAGGCAGGCTTGTTCCACCTGCTAGCTTGTATACATGTTTTGGGCAATTTTTAACCATTTTTTCAAGTCAACCTTGAAGAAACCTCAGTGCCTGGGCACCTTGGTTGAAAAAGGCTGCTCTAACAGGTCAGGGCTTCTGGAGCCCACCCAAGGGCTTTCTGGAAGAGGAGTGGAAGAGGGAAGCAGGCCCAGATCTGCATGTTTAAGGGACCTTGGCCAATCCCCTGGCAGGAGGCTGGGAATGGTGACCAGGGCAACCCTCAAATGTGGCAGAGCCTTGGGGGTGGTGTGCAGTATCAGGTGGAAGATGGATTGAGGAAGACTGGAGTGTGGAGCGTGGGAGGGGGCCCCTGGGAGGGGAGCCTATCTACAGGCAGGTTGCTGGAGAAGAAGATCTCCTATGCCTCAACGTCTCCTGGGGAGGACAGCCTCTATATCAGGGAAGGAGCCAGTCCACTTTGCCTGAAGGCAGCCTCCAACCCACTAAGCTAACAGGAGAGGACAGTGTGAATACTCTTACACCCCCCAGGCCAGATAAGGGGAGAGGGCAGTCAGGTGCAAGACCCAACTAGCTTCTCATCTGGAAGTGTTCAATTGACAGCACTTGGGCCCCCTTGTTCAGGGATAACCTCAGGCAGTTGGGTGAAAAGAACAAATCATCCAGGGACTGAGGAGGTACACCTAAGAGCCTTTAGTGCTCTTCAGGAAAAGACTGTTGTTAATCCAAAACTCTGTACTTAGTTGTTAAGGAGTTGCCCCCAAGTCCTACAGTTCCTTGGGCATCCCATATACCCCTAGACCCTATCAAAATTGAACCTTTCAATAAAATTACAAAACCAAGCTCAAGGTCTGTTGACTGACTCCAGTGTGCAGAGTGTGAAAATGTGTGTTGTCTGGCCATGCAGAGCATAGGGGGACCCAATTCAAATTCATCAGCCCTTACGAGGGTAGTGCTACGTATTAACAAGTGGTATTTCTGGATACACGCACTCTTTTCACTTTCTATGGAGTTTCATCTATGGTTGGACTTTGATAAGGAGTTGCCCTAATTTCTTTTGGACTTTGCACATATATAGATGTATGGTATAGAAAAAAAGGAATTATATTTATTAAATATATGGAGCAGAGTGCAAGACAATGTCGAGGAGATGAAAGGTTCAGTCATGACCAATACTTTGCCCATGAGCAGTCAGTAGGGACATCTGGAGAAGCTGCAGGACACCCATAAGACAGAATGTCTACAATCAAACTTACTGTGATAGGTGCACACTTACCGCCGATGGTAGGTCACGTGACCGTCTTTAATCTCAAATTTGTGGAGGAGAGCTTGACCATCGAACAAATGATAAAACTGCTCAGAGCCAACTTCAAACAGGCCAGGACCACATCTCAGGAGACTGCCGGACAGCCAGGGGGGAAGACGGCCTGTGGAGTAGATCAATACTGGCTATGTATGGAAAGATAGATACTAATAGATAGATTAAAAACATATATGGAAAGATAGTTTTGGATAGAGTGGAGAGGGATTTGAACTCCTTTCAGTTATTATTGCAGTCTGTGTCCCCATTAGAGAGATTCACCCTTTCTATATGGCATGTTTACACCTATCATCAAAAATGAAAGCAAAAGAAAATCCCAAAACAGGAATAATGGAGATATCTTCCAATGGGGACATTAGTTCTGGTGACAACCTGGGATTCCCTCACTTTGCATGGATTTCCTCTCACTGCCAGCTTTGGCTATGGGACAGGAAGTGAAGAGAAATCTTCCCTACGGAACACAGATACCATAAAAAAAAACTGCCAGAGGTTATAACCCTCCCTTACTCTATCCAAAATGAGAAGAAAATGTTTCCCCTTTAGTACACTTTAATAAATAGATTGCTCATATAGCGATAGATCAATAGATAGATAATCAATAGAAAAATAGATAATGGAGATATGGAGAGATAGATAGTGTACAGGACACCGGGATGTATTCTGGACAGCAGATGTGTTTCCCTGTTATTTGGTTTCTGATCCCTTTAAGGGGGGGAGGTCAACAAGATACACTTTTAGTATTCAGGGGTTCCCGCCCTCACTGTCTGGATTGGTAGTCCTCATTTGAGATTCAGAGAAACTTTAGGAGGGAAAGAGTCTCCGAACCCTGATTACAGGGACTTTGGTTCCGAAAGGGTTAATCCACCTGTACGGGAAGCTTGAAAAGGGACTGTCAGGAATGGACTCGCCAATGGTGGTGGGACTCACCTGCCTTGTGGGCTGCAGTACCAGGGCTGGCCAGTGGGTGCTCTCAGTAATCAGAAGCCCACTCCTGCAATCAGCTATCACCTGAGGCTGATTGCAGGAGGTGTATTTAAGGAATGGCCAGACCTGCAGTCAGTGCCTTGGTGTTTGTTTCCCATGTGCCCTGTTTCCTGTATCCTGTCTCCTGCCTGCTTGACTCTCCTGCTTGACTCTGACAGAACTCCGCCTGCACTGACCCCGGCTATTCCTGACCATTCTTCTGCCTGCTCCCGTTGTACCTTTCTGCCTGATTATTCCTGACCCGGCCTGCCTGACCACTCCACCTCTCCAGCCCTGACTGCACCTGTACCTATTAGTTTAAGGTTTGTTTTGTTTTGCACTGTGTTTGTTTATTTTGTGCAGCTCATAATAAATATTATTATTATTTAATAATTTCTGAAGCCTGCTGTTTCCCTGTGTCAGTCCACACATCTCTGGTCATACCTGGATCCCTGACAGGGACAGGGAGGAGTGAAGAAAGTGTGGACTATCTGGAGACTGACACATGGTTTTGCTGAGCTCCTGCAGCCTTTGTGCTTCCCCCGCGGCAGATGGGAACCCTAAACCCAATGGTGGGATTTGTATACAGGTGGTGAGCTGTTTTGTTGCCTTGATTATACCAGGAGTATGAACTGTTTGCTTTATTTTTGCTGAATAAAGCTATTTTTGGTTGCTTTTTTTGAGTCCAATAAAGACTGTTACAAACGGCTGTGCCAGGGTTAGGATTTGAACCCACGAGCTCTGCTGCATCCAGCAGTAGCTCCCCTTGCTGGGCCACCTGAGACGCAGGACAGCATCCTGTCTGAACCTTAGGATAATCATGTCTTTGTGAAAAAGAACAGACAAGGGCGCACTCTCATCGTGCATTACCGTGTTAAACCACGTGTTTATTAAAAAGACAAATGGATGTATACTCACAAACCAACGATATAAAAGCAGTGTTAGTGGTCCACAAGAACAGTCACAAAGATGTTGTGTCCTTGATAAGGATAAGCTGATGCGTTTTGGGAGCTGGACCCCCTTCCTCACAGCTAAAAATATGCCTACTGGCCACAAGCCTATATACCAACGAAATGTCAAAAGGAGGGTGAAAGGCCCTCCCACCCACCCCCAGTGGCCCAATCCCACCCACACACAATCGCACCCAACCCAATCCCACCCACCCTCAGTGGCCCAAAAAAAACCACAGTGGCCCAATCCCAAAACTTCATGGTCCCAGAGCACACACAAAAAACCCCCCAAAAAAAAACACAACAAAACTACATGTGATAAACAGCAACCTGTAAATAGCATAAAGTACACGCATATAATTATAAATAAAATGAGCTGGAGGTGTACTTACATTTACCCCCAAGGAAAGTAGTCCTGACCTTTGATGAATGGTCACTGACCCAATAGAAACATGGGTCAGTGGGTCAGTGACCATTCATCAAAGGTCAGGACTACTTTCCTTGGGGGTAAATGTAAGTACACCTCCAGCTCATTTTATTTATAATTAGCTGCGTGTACTTTATGCTATTTACAGGTTGCTGTTTATCACATGTAGTTTTGATTGTGTTTTTTTTTGTGTGTGCTCTGGGATTGGGCCGCTGGGGGTGGGTGGGATTGGGCCACAGGGGGTGGGTGGGATTGGGCCACAGGGGGTGGGTGGGATTGGGCCACTGGGGGTGGGTGGGAGGGCCTTTCACCCTCCTTTTGACATTTCGTTGGTATATAGGCTTGTGGCCAGTAGGCATATTTTTAGCTGTGAGGAAGGGGGTCTAGCTCCCGAAACGCGTCAGCTTATCCTTATCAAGGACACAACATCTTTGTGACTGTTCTTGTGGACCACTAACACTGCTTTTATATCGTTGGTTTGTGAGTATACATCCATTTGTCTTTTTAATAAACACGTGGTTTACCGCGGTAATGCACGATGAGAGTGCACCCTTGTCTGTTCTTTTTCACCAGTGGTCAGATTCCCGATCTTTGAAGGGCAGCACCTCTTCGTCTGGCATCCTGATATATATTTTTCAGTCTGCATGAGGATTGGAGCGACGGTTTCGTTTGTCAATCATGTCTTTGTACCTTCCTATTTGCCAGATTATTGTGCTCTTCTCCAGCCAATATTTTGCTCCTTTCACTCCTGGTGCCATCTATACCTCTGCTACCACATGTTACCGGGTTTGGCTTGTTCCTTGACCTACGTTTCCACCTGATCTGAACCTGTAACCACTTGTTACTGACTATGTTTCTGCTTGGCCCCTACTTTCTACATTTACAACCTGTCTTGCTGACTCAATGATGGGGCGATCCTGAGGACCGCAACCTGGTACTAACATGCAGGTAAACCCATTTTCACCATCAGGAGCTCTAGTGATTACCAGTTAGTGCTTAGACCCAGGTGACCCTGCGTCATCTGTTAGGGTGATCTGCTTCTGCATTTATCCTGCTGGTTGGTGGGAATCTCTCAATTGCTATAACTACTGGTCTACAAGCCTGAACCCGGACCGTGATAGACTGGCTGATAATATAGAGATAGATATATAGATAGAGATAGAAATATTGATAGAGATGGATATATAGATAGAGATGGATAGAGATGGATATATAGATAGAGATGGATAGAGATGGATAGATAGATAGAGATGGATAGATAGAGATGGATAGAGATGGATAGATAGATAGAGATGGATAGAGATGGATAGAGATGGATAGATGGATAGAGATGGATAGATGGATAGATGGATAGAGATGGATAGATGGATAGAGATGGATAGATGGATAGAGATGGATAGATGGATAGAGATGGATAGATGGATAGAGATGGATAGATGGATAGAGATGGATAGATGGATAGAGATGGATAGATGGATAGAGATGGATAGATAGATAGAGATGGATAGATGGATAGATAGATAGAGATGGATAGATAGAGATGGATAGATAGATAGAGATGGATAGAGATGGATAGAGATGGATAGATGGATAGAGATGGATAGATAGATAGATAGAGAGATGGATAGATGGATAGAGATGGATAGAAGATAGATGGATAGATGGATAGAGATGGATAGATGGATAAGAGATAGATAGATGGATAGAGATGGATAGATAGATAGATAGAGATAGAGATAGATAGATGGATAGATGGATAGATAGATAGAGATGGATAGATGGATAGAGATGGATAGATAGATAGATAGAGATGGATAGATGGATAGATATGGATAGGTAGATAGAGATGGATAGATGGATAGAGATGGATAGATAGATAGAGATGGATAGATGGATAGAGATGGATAGAGATGGATAGATAGATAGAGATGGATAGATAGAGATGGATAGATGGATAGATAGATAGAGATGGATAGATTCATGTCTAACCTGTGACGTGCACACTCATTGGTGTAGCCAGCTCCTCCACTGTCTCGAACAGTTTCTTGTACCCTCCGGCGGGGTGCTCCACTCTACAAGATATCTCAGGTTATCTTTTATGTCAATGGCTGACATCAGAGTTATATTGGAATATTTGTAGAATTTAGCCATTTTAGAAAAATCATATTCACACCACAAATAGTATTTCCAGTAGGGTTCATCCCAATATGTCTCTTTACAAGACCAGAAACCACACCATGGCTGGCTCGTGTTCAGTATTAGAACTCTAGATATGACTCATTGATGATTTTGGCGTGTGGTTTTCTCTAGAGGTGACCTTTGTTCATGGAGTGTTTGGTGCTCAGTGGGAATTGCTAAGTCTGCGGTAAGTTAACATTTTTAGAACCAGTGTCATGTCATCCGTACTATATGTTTAATGTTGGATTGATCTACATCAGGGTGCGTGTAGCATAAAATATAGATGATCATACACTGGGAATGACAAGGTTCTCATGGAAAAAAGATGATGGTTGTAGATCAGGGGATGATATAACGTCCATGGTAGTGGTGGTCAACTCTCCTAATATGGGGGGCCTTAGGTGCTGCCCCTGAAAACTGCCAAGGGCTGCACATAAAATTCAGGGAATATTCACAGTCATAGACAGCAGACACACAACAGGATATAGTCAAAAACTATGGCCATGATACAAGAGATGGTCAGAGGTTGGGGACATGACACAAGAGATGGGCAGAGACTGGGGACATGACACAAGAGATGGACAGACTGGGGACATGACACAAGAGTCGGGCAGAGACTGGGGACATGACACAAGAGATGGGCAGAGACTGGGGACATGACACAAGAGATGGACAGACTGGGGACATGACACAAGAGTCGGGCAGAGACTGGGAACATGACACAAGAGACGGACAGAGACTGGGGACATGACACAAGAGACAGACAGAGACTGGGGACATGACACAAGAGATGGACAGACTGGGGACATGACACAAGAGTCAGGCAGAGACTGGGAACATGACACAAGAGACAGACAGAGACTGGGGACATGACACAAGAGACGGGCAGAGACTGCGGACATGATACAAGAGACCGGCAGAGACTGCGGACATGATACAAGATACGGGCAGAGACTGCGGACATGATACAAGATACGGGCAGAGACTGCGGACATGACACAAGAGATGGGCAGAGACTGCGGACATGACACAAGAGATGGGCAGAGACTGCGGACATGACACAAGAGATGGGCAGAGACTGTGGACATGATACAAGAGATGGGCAGAGACTGCGGACATGACACAAGATGTGGGCAGAGACTGGGGACATGACACGAGATGGGCAGAGACTGCGGACATGACACAAGAGATGGGCAGAGACTGTGGACATGATACAAGAGATGGGCAGAGACTGTGGACATGATACAAGAGATGGGCAGAGACTGTGGACATGACACAAGAGATGGGCAGAGACTGTGGACATGATACAAGAGATGGGCAGAGACTGCGGACATGACACAAGATGTGGGCAGAGACTGCGGACATGATACAAGATATGGGCAGAGACTGCGGACATGCTGTAGGAGTTGTTGCAGACTGGTGACATGCTATAGGAAACAGTGATAGACATTGTCCATGAGACCTCTAGAGATCACTGCTATAACAGGGCAATAGAGACACACAGATTAGTGTCTGTAGGGGCCCCAAGGTCCTCACAAGAAGTTCCAGTGGGCAACAGGCCTGGTATATGGGAACCACCAGAACTCTGGCCAAACAGATGAATACATATAAAGGAGCTGCTTTGCCTGGCAAAGAGTTTGTATGTTTGTCCATACATTTATGGGATTAACACAGCTCTGTCACACAGCACATGCACTGGTGGGGCAGGAGACCTGATTTTTCTCTGTTGCAGTTCAATGACATTCACAGATCTGGTCCCTCCCTCAATCCTGTGACTGGACAGTGAAAGGAGAAGCAGCAAACTGATCTGCTCGTCTCTCTGTCACTTTGCTCTCTCCACCTATCAGCATGTTCATTGTTAGCACATGAGCTCTGTGCTCATTGTGCTGCTTCTCCCTCTCCCAGTCTGAGCTCTGCTATACAAGGACTGCAAGAGGCTAATACCAAGTCCTAGTTGGGTGCTTACATTGCTTACATTTATTAATAAATGAATGATTATGGCGCTGCCTAATTTTTGTATTTTATACCTGCCTGGAGTTTAGCCTTAAAGGGCGCTCACAGGGGAGGTACAGAGATACAATGTAACATCGTTCACAGGGGAGGTACAGAGATACAATGTAACATCGCTCACAGAGGAGGTACAGAGATACAATGTAACATCGCTCACAGAGGAGGTACAGAGATACAATGTAACATCGTTCACAGAGGAGGTACAGAGATACAATGTAACATTGCTCAAAGGGGAGGTACAGAGATACAATGTAACATCGTTCCTACGTGAGATACAGAGATACAATGTAACATTGTTCACAGAGGAGGTACAGAGATACAATGTAACATCGTTCACAGAGGAGGTACAGAGATACAATGTAACATCGCTCACAGAGGAGGTACAGAGATACGATGTAACATCGTTCACAGAGGAGGTACAGAGATACAATGTAACATTGCTCAAAGGGGAGGTACAGAGATACAATGTAACATCGTTCCTACGTGAGACACAGAGATACAATGTAACATCGCTCACAGAGGAGGTACAGAGATACAATGTAACATCATTCACAGAGGAGGTACAGAGATACAATGTAACATTGCTCAAAGGGGAGGTACAGAGATACAATGTAACATCGTTCCTACGTGAGATACAGAGATACAATGTAACATTGTTCACAGAGGAGGTACAGAGATACAATGTAACATTGTTCACAGAGGAGGTACAGAGATACAATGTAACATTGTTCACAGAGGAGGTACAGAGATACAATGTAACATTGTTCCTACGTGAGATACAGTGATACAATGTAACATGGTTCCTACGTGAGATACAGAGATACAATGTAACATTGTTCACAGAGGAGGTACAGAGATACAATGTACAGTAACATAGTAACTTTTGTATCTAATCTGTTTCAATTGTCTTGATTTAGCTTAGTATGGATTGGTGACCACACATGCTTCAGTTTTATTTGATGTGCAATTCAATCAAAATGATTGAAGCTCCAAACAACTGAATGACCATAACTTCCCTTCCGAACGATTACACTCAGTTTTGATCAGATTCGACCAAACTGAGTTGCTCAGCCAGGGTGGGATGTTATCGATCATATTGCATCAATCTGCAGTACGGAGATACTGTGTTCATATATAGGATCGTATCTCCATCAACCGGATTATGAGATCACACGTGAGACAGAGATGGGACCAGAAATGTACGATCATAGATTAGAATTGTTTCTTAGCTATCGATTGGATTCACTTCCAGGTGTGTGGAATATCGATCAATAAGTTGTCAACTATAGATTAAGTATTCCTATCAGAAGAGATCAATCATAAAAGAACATGCAGATCAGTCATCATTTGTTAGACATGCATTTCTGCTGAATTTGTTGTTGCTATTCTGTCTCTCAGTGTCACAATACACCGAACATTTCGATTATTAGACCGATCATTTCTTTGTGAGTGGGCCAAACATTCAATCAGCAGGGGATCAAATACTTATTTCCTTCACTGTATGTGTATATATATACAGTCAGGTCCATAAATATTGGGACATCGACACAATTCTAACATTTTTGGCTCTATACACCACCACAATGGATTTGAAATGAAACAAACAAGATGTGCTATAACTGCAGACTGTCAGCTTTAATTTGAGGGTATTTACATTCAAATCAGGTGAACGGTGTAGGAATTACAACAGTTTGCATATGTGCCTCCCACTTATTAAGGGACCAAAAGTAATGGGACAATTGGCTTCTCAGCCGTTCCATGGTCAGGTGTGTGTTATTCCTCATTATCCCAATTACAATGAGCAGATAAAAGGTCCAGAGTTCATTTCAAGTGTGCTATTTGCATTTGGAATCTGTTGCTGTCAACTCTCAAGATGAGATCCAAAGAGCTGTCACTATCAGTGAAGCAAGCCATCATTAGGCTAAAAAAACAAACCAAACCCATCAGAGAGATAGCAAAAACATTAGGCGTGGCCAAAACAACTGTTTGGAACGTTCTTAAAAAGAAGGAACGCATCGGTGAGCTCAGCAACACCAAAAGACCCGGAAGACCACAGAAAACAACTGTGGTGGATGACCGAAGAATTCTTTCCCTGGTGAAGAAAACACCCTTCACAACAGTTGGCCAGATCAAGAACACTCTCCAGGAGGTAGGTGTATGTGTGTCAAAGTCAACAATCAAGAGAAGACTTCACCAGAATGAATACAGAGGGTTCACCACAAGATGTAAACCATTGGTGAGCCTCAAAAACAGGAAGGCCAGATTAGAGTTTGCCAAACGACATGTAAAAAAGCCTTCACAGTTCTGGAACAACATCCTATGGACAGATGAGACCAAGATCAACTTGTACCAGAGTGATGGGAAGAGAAGAGTATGGAGAAGGAAAGGAACTGCTCATGATCCTAAGCATACCACCTCATCAGTAAAGCATGGTGGTGGTAGTGTCATGGCGTGGGCATGTATGGCTGCCAATGGAACTGGTTCTCTTGTATTTATTAATGATGTGACTGCTGACAGAAGCAGCAGGATGAATTCTGAAGTGTTTTGGGAATATTATCTGCTCATATTCAGCCAAATGCTTCAGAACTCATTGGACGCTTCACAGTGCAGATGGACAATGACCCAAAGCAGACTGCAAAAGCAACCAAAGAGTTTTTTAAGGGAAAGAAGTGGAATGTTATGCAATGGCCAAGTCAATCACCTGACCTGAATCCGATTGAGCATGCATTTCACTTGCTGAAGACAAAACTGAAGGGAAAATGCCCCAAGAACAAGCAGGAACTGAAGACAGTTGCAGTAGAGGCCTGGCAGAGCATCACCAGGGATGAAACCCAGCGTGTGGTGATGTCTATGCGTTCCACACTTCAGGCTGTAATTGACTGCAAAGGA